GAAGGTTATGCTATCAGGAATGATACCCGGTTTAAATTATCCGTACTCTTCTAGCGGCCACCATAAGAATCGACTAAAGAACTATCCCAGAGACTTGGCAGTAGCATTCTCTAATAATCTTGGTCCGTTTACTATGACATCCAACTCGCTACTAATATTTAAAATGTTACACATAACAATATTATAGTAACTATTCTCGATGACTGTTGTAACCAACTTCATTTATGTAAATTGTTGTTGACTTTATTGTTTTATTTTACCTTTACTAAATTCATTACATAATTAATATTTGTATAACATGTTAAACATGTTGATACAATCGTTATGCACTGTACCGTCTATAGTAAACATCAATTTTCGCATTTGCATTATGACCTACCTACACATATTTTTGTTATTAATTTTATCTCTAACTTTATAAATTACAAGCTTCTGTCCGCGACTTCGTACGCGCAATCCCGCAATTCCCGTAATATTTTCAGGATTTTTTCTGTGATAGAAACCCTCTCCTGACAATAATAAATACAACAAAAAAAATCAGCCAAATCGGTCTAGCTTTCCTCAAGTTATTGCGTGACAATGGGAAACTGGTTTCATTTTTATATACATATATAGATAGCAAACTATTATTTTGTTGAAGAGGTCCGTTATCGAGCAGTGGACCTTCATGGTCTCCTGATGTTCCTAATGATGTAATAATGTCTCTCCGCTGTTCTACTGGCCCCACCACGTTCGTTATTAATCCGTCACAGTCTGAATGGAAATCATTTATCATTAAATCGTTCGCGTGAACTTGTCACTTTTATAGATTTTCATTTAATTTTATTCTATTTTGTATAAAGTATTCTTGTCATGAAAAATCGTCTGTTTTGTTTTGTCCTAGCCTAGTGTGTGGATTTTATCTCACAATTCAATTAATTAATGGTTTTATAGTCTCGCTATTATTCATGATTTTTCGTTCAATGTATCATTCTTTATTCACTTTTTTCTGTTACAGTTTTTATGTATCCATCGTAATTAGTTTTATTTTAAAAATGTTTAAATTAAAATTAAGATTTTTTGCATTATAAGTTTTTGATACATAGTAAATTTACTATACGTTTTTCGGCTTGCTCATGTAACTGTTTGACAAGGAACTCGATTAGTTTCAAGCTATTCTAGTGATTTTTGTGCCGTTTTTGATGAGATAAGCCGGTAGCACACGGATCACCTGATAGTAAGCAATCGGTGTTACAAGTGCGTTACCGGCCTTTTGGGGATTAGGAATGTGAAGATTGTCCAGGTTGATTCAGGAATTGGGGAGATTGGGGCACAACGCAAGCGTTGTTTCACGTCAATTTTCTGTGAGGCTGTGGTATTACTCCAGTCGAGGAGGCCCATTCGTGCCGAAGCATGGCTCCCCCACACTTAAAACATAATATTACCTTGTGCCTTTACATCCTCGTAAAGATAGGCAGAAATGCACAATATACACATTTTGCACATACATACAATGTAACTAATTCGCACTTTTTAAGAGCGGCCGGGCCGGGCAAAATAATACTGGGTTTTTTTTAAAACTTTCACTACTACAGTAGTAGTAGCACGGAGTCTGAAATTGTGCCCGATATATGGCAATAGGCTGACTTCCTATTACATGGGACTTATAACATAAATAGTGAAAAGTGGGTGTCACATTGTACAGTGGCATTAAGTGCTGGAATCCGCACCTCTGCCTACCCCTTTGGTATTAAAAAGGTCTGATGTTGTGTTATGAGTCCCATTTAATAAGGCGTCAAGCTATTACCGTACCGGTACCGCATGTAAATCCAGTCTCAAGCTAATTACAAAAGAAAATTACCCATTAATTCTTTACCTGACCTGGAAAACGCATTCTTACCTCTATAGGGATCTCCTTAACTCACTAGTACCGCTCTATTAACGAACCAGTCAAAATATTCTAATAACTACAGTCACTTTTCTGTCTTCAAAATAGTAAAATGAACCAATAAAAAATCAAACAAAAAGTAGCTTCAATGGCACATTGTAAATTAGACTCCAAAACCCCTTAATATAGAGTAGCAATTTGATTGTAAAGTACACTCGGGGCGCAGTGCAATGCCATGCAGTTTCTTGTTTTGTTTTCAACTGCAGCACGCTTTTTCGTTATCCATTTTATATGAAACGCAACACACGCTACAGGCCAGGCAAATCTTTTATAAAATATTAAACCTTACCAGTTCTGCAACAAAGTTGGAAATCTATTGAAGGATTTTTACAGTCTAGGAATACCTTGATGTGCGGTTGACTGGACCGCTGTGGAGTAACACTTGAATTTTTTGGGTGATGCTCGAATTTGTATTTTTTTATTTCAAAAGACAGAAGCTTCTATTTGTGGTTAGGTATATGTAGTTTGATATCTCTATGCTTTTTTTTGATGACGGGTGGAATCCTTCAAAATTCGCTTACCTTTTTGAGCAGAAAGACTAGGGAGTGTGGAATTCGTACCTCAATTAAATCACCCCGGTGGCCACCCTCAGCACCTGTAACAGGGGCGCCGGGTCCTCTGAAGAGATCTGCTCCGGAGCCCCCATGGTGCATCGGCTGTTACAACACTTCCTGAGGATGGTACCTCTAAGCCTATAGTAAGATTTTTATAATTGAAATTTCTTGCAGTATATAGAGGTAGAGAAGACTGCATAGATGAGTGATCTTAGGGTGCGTCCAAATCTGGCGAATGCGCAGACCGAGAGCTACTAGCGAGCTTTGCATTCGCGGAGCTTTCATCAGATGTGGACGTACCTTTACAGTCGACTGTTGAATGAAGGCAAGCCTCAATAAGGAGCAGCTTAACACAGGGAGTCTAATATTATTCGTTCGATGACTTTTCTCAACACATCTCTCAAATGGTGTTCTGTATAAAATCACGTCCAAAAATAAATAAGTAAATAAATCTTTATTCATTATAAGGAATTGGTCATAGTACAGATAAACATCTTAATTTAAAATCAGAGATCTCACTACGTTTGAATGCTTGTACTAGGAAGAATATCCTGTATCACAACGTACCCTGTGTAATAAAAAGCATCTCACAACCAAAAACTATCTATTACGAGCATTGTAAATGCTATACAATTGGCACATCTGCCAATATAATGTTATACAGTGAAAGAAATATAACAATAATAGTTCTAAGACTGAGGTATCAAGTGTAGGACAATAAATCAGCAACGTTTGACAGAGAGAACGTGCCATAAATACACAGAGCATTGTGATTAGGAGCCACATAACGATGGATGTGGTAACACAAATCAAAGTGAATAAGAAAATAAAGTTGTACCTATGACTGAAATAAAGTATTGTAGTTTTGTAGAACAAATATTTTGTATCATATTATTTGTTTTGAAATAGTTAACTTATTACATACATACATTTACTTTTATCTATACTAATATTATTAAGAGGAAAGATTTGTACCTATTTTTGTATGTTTGTATGTTTGTAATGATTAGGCTCAAAAAGCACTAGGCCGATTTAAAAAATTATTTCACCAATAGAATGCTACATTCTTCCAATTTGACATAGGCTACATTTCATTTTGAAAAAAAAATAGGGATCCTTGGTCAAATTTGAACAATGTAATCGAAGGTATAGAAAAATGAGTCTTAAAATGTCTTTCGTCGAATGCGCTGCCGAAACTATTAGCGATAGAACAAAGTAATGTACAACAATATTGAAGAATATCATATGTCCAATTATTGTAGTTATGTCACTACAACAATCCAAATTTCCAAAAATAAATAATTGTCTACCCCGTGCGAAGCCGGGGCGGGCTGCTAGTATTGTGTGAAGAGATAGGTTATCGTATGTTTATTTAGAGTTCTGTAATACCTGTCTGTCTGTAATACGCCTGTAATAAGTATCTACTGTTTGACAATTTTATAAGTTCTTTCACTAGTCACTGCTTATCAAATGTTGTGCTCAAAACTTTCTAGTTCTATGTTTATAATGGACCTGAATAACTATAATGATAATTATGTTACCTGATCGCACCAAATCGTGACCATAAGTCATACTTTTTATAATACTCAATCAAACTATACCTCAATTGAATCTGATTTCACAAATCCCGAGCCGGAATACATTTTAAACACATTATCTTCCCACATCTTCTATATTGTTCCTCCCTCTGTGTTCAGATTCTCAGATCTAAATGCTATTTCATAAGTTCGAGGACTTCATGCGAGGTCGTAAATTATAGTTACGTTGACACACACTAACTATCTTGAAGGATTTTCACACAACTTCCTCGACAAACTTCGTAATATTTTTTTGTGTATTATATCTTATGTTGTTAATTATTGGGTTTCTTTTTGTTCATCGTGTCATATCATGTTTGGTGGTAAAAGATATCTATGGTTGAAGTGTAATTAGCTCTCCTGATATAGATATAAAATATATAACATAACATAACATACATAACATAATATAACATAACATCACGCCTTTTATCCCCGAAGGGGTAGGCAGAGGTGCACATTACTGCACTTAATGCCTCTGTACAATGTAACACCCACTTTTCACTATTTATATTACGTCTCATGTAATAGGTGTGAACCTATTTACCATATTATGACGAACCCAATTCCAGACTCCGTGCTACTACTGCGTCAATAATGCGTTGTTTTACCCGGGATCTAACCCAAGACCCCTTGACCAGTAGTCGCTCTTGCGATCACTAGGCCAACGTGGCAGTCATAGAGTCATAGAATGGAATTTTAAATGCTACTTGAACAAGTATATGGGAAAGGTAATATGTGGGTCTTATACATATCTAGGTCCGAAATAGTGTTTTATCAGATAAGTACGTATATTTCCTTCTGCATTGAATTTAAATTTTCTTTATCTGCATTAGATGATCCATCTGCTCACTTTCCGTTTATATTTATAACGCAAGTTATGTAACAAAACCACAAAAACTATAAACAACACATTTATTAACTAAATAATTGATCTGCAAATATTTCATCCTATTCTACCCATAAAAACATCGAGCTATCACTAACTTACAAAGTATTTTAATGACAAACAATTACATAATTCTATAATTACTTTTTTATCGAAGGTTCATTCTCAACCAAAATTCTGTTGATGATGTCAGCACAATCCTTGTTCTCAATGATAGAGACGTGGTTACCCTCCAAGAAGTGTACGGTGACATTGTTCTCTGTGTACTTGTCGAGTCCATAGTTCTCTTCTACAGCTACGAAGGACGGGTTCTCTTTGGGACGAAGGAGGATGACTGGAGACTGTAGCTTCCTGAAGGCCTTCGGTTCTAAGTCCAGGATGGTTTTTAGCCTGTTTAATGTAGCTCTTGCTATGTTTGCGATGAACTTGTCGGAGTACTTGCTCTGGACTGGCGATGTCTTGATGGTCAAAGCGACTCTTTCATCGTAAGACTCGATCTCGTTGAGTTTCTCCATAAGACCCTTGGTGACGTCGTTTTTGGGGGCGATGATGTCGGCGGTATGACATAGCAAGTTATTCTGCAGTTGGAAGTCGTTCTTGAAGCTGATAGTCATTGTTAGGAGAGCGTAGAGGAAGTCAGAGGCACCGTCCAGACAAAATACTGTTCCCTTGAAACCTGGAAATAAAAAGATTATTAGTTTATATGATTTTAGCAAAATCGGCGTAACTTAGAGCATATTGTTATTAATTGTTTTAGTATATTTAAAATGTCTTTATTTACTTACCTTCCTTCTCCAGCCTGGAAGCCAGTTCCAAAATAAGGAGAGAACCGTAACTGTATCCGAGGAGCCAGAATGGAGCTCCGGGCGCCAATCTGGATATCACCGTCTGTAGAGAACACAAAGATTAGCTCACAGTTATTATACTTACAATAGAGAAGTTAGTTAGAAATTAATTATTACATATATTAGGTGTACAGCGCCACAGAATATATCATCAATATACTTTACAGTCTACTAAAAGAGGGGGCAACTAAATTATTGCTCACCAAATGGAACTAGTGTACCTCTGTCTTTTCGTTCAATAAAGATTTAATTAGCAAGTTTTGCTTTGAACGTTGAACAACAGCATTGAACGTTCTATTCTTGACAATTACAGTGATTATAGAAATTCAGTTTTGCTAGATTTAGCGATCATTCAGATAAATGTTTCACCTGGTGTAACCTGTCGACCATCTGGTCCATGTTCTCGTTCTTGTGTTCTACTCCAAGCTGCAGCACGCAGACCTTAATCTTAAGTCTTCTGCAAAGGGGCTCCAAAGTAGCTGCCGACCCTTCTAACCCCGGTACCAAGAACATTATGGGCTGTATAATGTGGATAACTTCATCGTCCTGAAATTAAGACACAATGCTTAACTAGTAAAATGCACATTGAATTGTGATTTTTAAAAACTCTCTCATTGTCTGTTATTATAATTTAATTAGGTATAATCCTTTTTTTTATATTTGATGGGCCGATGTTTGATCACTATCTCACCTGGTGGTAAACGATGATGCGATCTACAATGAAGTATGTCGTCCTATAAGCAACCTATTCACTCGCGCCTTGAAGACACCCAGGTATATACCCTTCAATATAGAGGTAGACTCTGCCAAAGAATTGCACAAAACTTACCTCGATTCCGTTGCTGATCATAGAAGGCATGTACACAAAAGATTCTGAAGCTAATTCCTCATCTCCAAAGTTCTTCATAAGCACACGAAGACCGACAGATCCTTCAACGTGTTTGGATACTGATGTAGAGAATGAAGTTTCGCTTCTGCATTGTGCTGTTAGTTTTGCTAGTCTTGGGAAACAGATTGATAATTAATAAGAATTGTGTGACCCCTAACAAAGGCACATAATACGTATCAATAAGTAAAAAATAGTATATGTTAAACGATTGGTTTCGTGGTTCCTACCTGGTGAAAGTTAAACTTTTAATATCGCAGACTTTCAAAAAAATTTTAAAATCTCTTTCCAAAGTTTTTTTGATCTCCAAAGCTATCATACTGTCCATACCCATCTCGGCCAAAGAAGTTTGTTGCGATACCGATTTCAAATTTTTGATACCTGATGAAAAACCATGAATTAGTACGATTTCTTTACTAAAGTACCTATGGATGAAGGTGTAGGTTGACCTAAATGTCCAACACGTTTCAGCATGTGACAAGTTTTGTTAAGCCTTTAACTGTCGTGAAGAATTGTTATACGCTAATCCTCCGCTAGCGTCAGCCATCATTGTCCGATACGGCATCGAAATCCATTCTTAGTCAATGTGCCAATTTGGGAAATCCTAATAATTCACGATAGAAATGTTGTATTTTATATAGAAATTAATAGAATACAGTTCTTGTAACATTATATATAAATAAACAAAAGACAAAGCTTTTTTTCTTTTGACCTTAAATGAGTTAATGGAATAATTTTGTAAATGTATAGAGCATGCAATATTATATGTAGATATATGTAGATGAAACTCAAGAACTTCAAATTAGACTTGTATTAATACCCACTGGATCAACCAGTATTTAATATAATTTTACAGCAAAAGTTGAAAAACCAACCGTACCCATTATCTGTGCAACAGCATCTATTGCATTGGCACATTCTACGTTTCCAGCTTTTTTATCAGCCACTACAATACAAGACACGACAGGAGCGCTTTGTTTCATCAACTTATCGAGAGAAGTCAGACAGGAAGATATTCTCTGCTGGAGGGTTCCTCCGATCTCAAGTTGGACGTCATCTTCCTGTGTGTCGGCTACCAAACCCACCTGTAGGGCATCACAAACATAAACAATGACTTTTAGCCTCTCGACCACATTCATTCCTAGATCAATTATTGAAGTAAGTATCAAAAGAGACATTAGTAAATCATTTTATACTTACATCTGCAATAGCTCCCCACTGTATGGTCATGGCTGGTAGACCAACCTCCTTCCTCTCTTCACAAATTCTCTCCATCACAGAGTTGGAGTAACCGTAGTTTGTCTGACCAGCGTTACCACGACCACAGGACATGGATGAAAAGACCACGAAATCCCTAAGCACAAAATAAATTGGGAACAATATTTTTAAGTACATTTTGACTTACCGTTCTACCGGTTTGCCTCGCTTGTATAATGTATGCAATAATATCCTTTAATCAAGTAAAACTATTCAATTAATCACTTACTTTAATTCTGGACACAGCTTCCTTGACAGTTTGTCCAAGTTCATAGTAGCAAGTGCCTTTGGTGCGAACGACGTTTTGAAGGACTCGGAAGTTTGGTTTTCAAATATGGAATCCCTCAGGATGACTGCCAAATTGAAGATAGCGTGCACAGGTCCCATGTTAAGAGCCTTTATAAGCATTCCCTCGCACCCAGACTCGGTTGAGACGTCGTGTGTTGAAAATTGAACCTCAGCACCATACCCTGCCCATGCCCTGAAATGTCATTAAGTAAACCCGAAATAGATTCATATGTACCTTCAAAAGACAAAGAAATTAAGTGATCAATTCTTAAATTATTGACAAACCTCAATCGCGACGACTGGTATCCATTAGTGATACCTCTGCGGGAAGTGAGCAGGATCTTTCTGCCGCCTCGCATGATGAGCCAGTCAGCCAGCTCTAGACCGAAGCCACCGAGACCACCGACCACTACGTACACGTGGTCTTCGTTGCAAATGTATCTGATGAAAGAGATTTTTTGTGGAATGAAGAGAAAATTGAGACTGGTAATACTGCACAACTACTACTCTTACCTTGGCATAGCGTCAAAGGGTTTGGGAACCGGTCTGATGGAATGACTGCTGGGCTCTTCTTCGCGAATCTTGACGAGCACCTACAATTAATCATATTCGGTTTAAAATGAAGATTCATGAAATTTAAAATGAATAAGAATTACATGGAAGGGCCATTTTTTTATGGTGGAAAATCATCGCATGACTTCTCTCGCCTAGGTTAGGCGGGAGGGAGTGTCATACTCTTACTGACTAAAAACCACCCCGTTCCTTCTTCTACACTTCGAGCTGGAGCCCCGGTAACCTAAGGTTCTCCGCGACTCCGAATCGGCATCAGCCCTATTGGGCCCCATCCGTGGTAGTCTGATGGGTCTGTGAGGCGCGAGCGGAATGCAACGCGCCGTACGCTCGGGTCTGTTTCTGGCCGGGCGGCGAGCCACCCATGCTCGCCGTCCGCAGGCCCGCGCTTACGGTGGCCGGAGATCGTCCCGCGATGGAAGGGCCATAAGAGGATAAAGAAAGAAATGAATTAATATTACACAATAGTAATTCTATTACCTTTCCGATGTGTTTGCCAGCAGCCATGTAACGGAAGGCATGTTCCACTTCGTTCGCCTTAAACGTGCAGTAAGTCAGAGGTTTGACGGCACCATCCTTGATGCCACTCAGAAGCAGCTCTTGCAAGCGCTAGTTAATAATTATTTAAAATATTAATTAAAATTACGTTAAACGTATGACGAACGAATCTAAAACGAAACTAAGAATAATATCGTTGCATTCTAATAAGAATTAAAGAAGTAGGTAAGAAGAGAGTTAGTAAATTAAGTAAAAATGCGGTTTACTTAATTTAGTATGTCTCACGATAGTTGTTATAAAAAAGAGAATTACTAAGTAACTGACCTTCCTGATCATAACGTCCTGATTGAAGATATAGTTGAACGTGATGCCTCGGAAGGTAATTTCCTTTGATATGAAGTACATGGCGATGGCAGTGTTTTTGTTGATGTCGAACTTGCCGATCTCGATGAAATGACCCCTGAATGCCAGGCAACGGACTGACGCCTGATCAATATAAACAAAACAATAAAACCTTTTGATGATATAATAAAACTTTTAATAATCGTCAGTTCGTAACTGTAACTGACCTGTAATTTGTCACCAGACAAGGAGTTGAGCACTATGTCGACACCCTTGCCGTTGGTCTCACATCTGATCATGTCTTCGAAGGAAGTGTCTCGGGAGTTTCCAATGTGACTGTCTGTTGATGATTTTAAAACCACTTAGCTTGGCTAACAATCACATAAATCAACAACAGTATACACTGGTTTTTTATTCAGATCTTCACAAACCTTTAAGTTGTGGAAACAACTTCTTGATGAATGCTCTCTTCTCCGCAGATCCAACTGTGGTGAAGACTTCGCAGCCGTAGTGGAGCGCCACATTGATGGCGGCCTGACTTACTCCTCCAGAACCTGCGTGGATGAGAATAGATTCACCGCGTTTCATCTCACCTAACATGATCTGCAAAATGAGAATGACGCATTAAGAATATAAAGCACACATTTGTAGTATTTATTTCTTCTTCTTGGCTAATATGGTCAGTTATGTTAAATCACTGATTAAATTGGGTCTCATGACTTAAAGTATAATTAAGATATTTTGTCAGAATTATGGGAGAAAGCTATTGAGAATTTAGTGTCTAAGCAAACTTAAATCACATGATAAACTTACCATGGTGTAGTATACAGTTCCATAAGCAACAGGTACAGTAGCGGCTTCCTCGAAACTCCACTCATCTGGAATGGGGCATAGGCTCTGCCTGTCTGCTTCAACCAAGTTTGCGATACCTCGGTTGCGGACCATACCCATGACTCGGGTGCCGCTGAAAAATAATTAATATGTTCTCTTAATTTTCTTTATCATCGTGTTAGAAATTCAAAACCATAATTACAGTCCAAGAATGATTATAAAGATTTTGACATATGTTTACGGACATTTATGAAAAAAGTTTCATTACAAATGAATGATGTTTGTTGATAAAGACAAAAAAATGTTTACAAAATTAACTCACTTGGCGGTCTTTCCGACAAATTCTGTGCCTATCAAGCACTCCTCCACAAGACGACCACCATCGTTTGTGTCTACTTTGACATGACCGACGGCTCTCATAACATCATGAAAGCTTAACGCTGCGCAGTATACCTAATGGAGAATAATAAAATACAAACTTGCGTTTAAAAAACCGACTTTTAAAAAACCAAAAACTAATAACAAACAAAAAGTCAAAACTAAAAAGCAAAAAATAACTATCATTAGTACTGATAGGTTACCAACCCACTGATAGGATAGAAGTCGGCGCCAACGGTAAAGAGTAGAGTAAGACTATCTTAAGGATGTAACAATTTTAAAACTATTGCTTGCACATAAATCGAAGATAGGTTCACTCACGTGGACTAGCACTTTTTCTTTATCCTTATAGACATGGTTTTCCCTGATAGCCCCTTCGACCCATGTCAATGAAGAAAGATCTCCGATGATAAGAGCATTAATATATGCATGGTTGGCGCGTACTGTGTCTAAGTCTTTCAAGAGAAGGTGTCGGTAAGTGCCCCATTGGCCCTAGAAAAACACAAAAATAACAATCATTCTAAGAAAAGTTATGAATATTACATTATGTATCAATGTTTTGTAACGATAAGTTATTTACGTCTTTGTATACGTTGAAGATCAAGTCCTTATTCAGCTGTTCTTCGTAAAACTCCAGGTAAGGGTTGAACGAAGGAGCAGATGGATCAGAAATAAAGAGACCATACACAATTTCACCGCCAGGCTCCTTCCTCAAACAGTTCACTAATCCTAAGAGACCGTTGATATGTTCATCTTGGGAGTAAAGGACCAGTTTTTGGCCTTGTTTAAGTTCCTTCTTGATTTTGTTCACCCACGAGAAAGTATTATCAGCAGCCAAAACTCTAACAAACTTGGCTGGTCTAGCTCCAACACGTTTTCTTAAGAGCACCAAGTATTCAAAGCCGGTATCGTTAAATGTCACGACGTCATATTTGTCGGAGTATTTATTTAGGTTGGGGTGTTCCTTTTCGCGACTCATAATGAAGGCTTTGTCGCAAAGGGTATCGACTGCTTGTTGAAAAACCTATTTAACATGAAATAAATAGTAGTTAATCATCAATATTTCTATGCATTACATTGATTCTTTTCGACTTGCATACGTACCTCAGGTCTACCAAGGAGATTAGCACCAATGAACAGTACTGCATTACTCTCTCCGATAATTTTTCTGTTTTCAACAGTAATGTTTGAAGAAACTTTAATAGGTTCTTTGGAAATCATCAAAAGGTCGCCCAGAGCGAAAGGCAGATCTGCAAGAATTTTTCCAACATTTTCTAGGATTGGCTGTAGACCGTTCTTTCTGTATTCTTCATCGACTAACTCAATAGTTTTGACTTTGTGTGTTTGAATGTTCTCGAAAACCAGCTGGACGTTTGTGCGAAGAATATCTTCGATCTAGCAATCAGAAATTTACTGTAAATTGTATAAATATATAAACATTAATTTTTCATTTTCTGTACCTTATTCTTAGACTTTCCAAAGTTGGGGATAAACTCGTGCTTCTCGTACACCGGTACTTCCAGAGGTTGCCTTTTTATTACAGATGTAGTATGCAGACCTCGGATTTCAACACCACCAGCCCTGTAAACAAAGCCAAATAATATCATTATTGTATACCCAAACAATATTGTATTGTACTTTTTTTTTTACTTATAACATTATTGATTTCACAATTTAGTTATGGCAAGTGATGGTTGAGGTGGACGAAACATTATGCAACGTCACCTTTTGTTATTTTATTATAAGTCAGGTAGATATCATTAAAAACTTTAAGGCTTTTATAATAATACTTAACCTGATGACGTTAATATCTGGGTATGCGCGAACCTCGAACGACTTTATGTGTGAGGGAGATTTCATCTTTGATGTCGCATTATAGTGCATAGCAGCATCAATAGACAGTTTCTCTATCCTGGTAGGTACGAAGAGACCCCTGGTGTCTTGGCCGATGATATTCATCTGCAGCATGCAGTCCATGAAGGTGACCCAGTTGTTGACCCAAGAGAGACGTCCGCGAGTATATTGAACGTTACAACCGATGACACCACGGAATAGACCACTGTTGAAAAAAGAAGAATTGAAAAGAGTTTTTTAAAGATTCTGTTTTTAAATTACCCTTTCATGAATATGTCTGTATAAGCTACAATGAATTTTCAATAAACAGCAATCTGGATGAGCTACAATGAATAACCTTTTACACATAACGTTTCACGCTTGGTGTCTTCTTTCATTTCTTACTTCTAACCTGTACTGGTATCCTCTGAGACGTAGTTCTTTATAGAAGTCCTTGGTCAGTAAGTGCTTGATAGAGGGACCAGTGACTTCAGGCAAGTGTGGGAGTACTCTGAAGTCTTGGCCGACGTTCTTCTTGGCGTAGATACGACCAGTCACAATGGAAGCGCCACATTCTAAAATCTAGAGAAAGTCGTGAAAATTAACGCAAAGGGGATTATGGTTAAAAACTTATTTAATGCCGATCCGGAGTATAATACGAATTTACCTCAAAATTACCACTTTTCTTGTGGATTGTGATGACAAACTCCATAGAACGTTCCTTAGGAATATTGATGGTTCTCTGGAAGCGCACATTCTCGAAAACTACTGATACTTCAGTATGGGGTTCTCCCATCATCATACCTAGGGTCTCCCATACCAAAAACAGGTAACCGGTGACAGGGTATAAGTTACAACCTATGTGGGGAAGAGAAGTATTTGTTTTAGACTTTCCTGAGTAATGGAGTTACTCCTATTAAATACTGAACTTAAATTTATTTACTCTTAGAACTCGATTTGTGTTTAAGCAAGTAGTTCTGATTCGAGTATCTATTCCTGCCCATACAAAGGGTTATATTTACCATTAATGACATAACCAGTCATGTACTCAGATTCATCATTCTTAGACATCAAAACCGTCCTTTCACCAATCTCCATCTTGTCCACATCTTTGAACGATGTTACAAACCTAAGGATAGAATACAGACCCGTGGTCAATCGGTTCGAAAGTCAAAAGTCCACTCCCACCTTCTATCGGTTGCGCTGCAGCACTTATACCCACATGCACAAGCATATTTGTATCCGTGAGCGTACGCACGCGTTTTTATGCACATTAATATGAAACTACTTACGTATTGCCGTGTGAACATCACTCACGGGGGCAGTGGACTTTTGACCTTTGACTGTACAAGGTCCTAATTTCAATATTTATGCAATTATTTTATAGGTTAGATACCTTACCAGTTCTCACTGTGGTCCCACTCAACAAGGTGGGCAAGCATTGGCGTACCCTGTGACACAGGGAATGGCACGTGTGGATAGATGTTGGCAAGGTGTGGGTTCAGACCTGACTTGTACAGTCTGTGAAAGAAGGATTTTGCCATTTCAAACCACTGCAAACTGTTACCTAGGTTAAGATAGTATATCTATTATAGATTACTTATAATCTTGACTTACTTTCCGAGGGCAGTGAAAAGAACCTGTACATTGTTCGGGTGGTCCTTTTCTGTTAAAGCAACGTTTATGACGTCCTTCTTCAGAGATCTGTGCAGGATAGCTTGCAGCACACCATGGGGGGCGATTTCGATGGTGATCGCGTTAACGTGGATCAGACGAGACGTCTCCTCAAAGAGTTCTAAGATCTGCTCCATATTTGGATTTACCTGCATAGTTTATAAGGTTCACATTTAGACATCTATTATCCAAGCCACGAAATATGTAATCAAATTAGAAAATCTCTAGATCTGTTTACGTACCTTAACACTTTCATTGTGGTTTTTGATAGATAGCTTCGTACTTCTATATTGAGAGTTCAGCAAAGGCGTGGACACCCACTTTTGTGAAGGTGTTCTCTTGAAATTTTTAACCACCTGCTTTAAAGGAATAAATAAGATACACAGCTATGATTATTTAAATTGAGAATAAGAATTAAAGAATAATTTAATGGTAAGATTCTGGGGAAAAACAGAAATCAAAACAATGTAGTTATTTTTTACACTTTTAATAGATAAGATCAAACCATATTTCTGCAGAAGGAGCAAAATTAAAGATGAAAGAATAGAGTTGGAAGCGAGTACCTGATGGTATCCAATATCGATATCAGCCAAGGAATACTTGATTAAAGTTTTTTTCTTTAATGCTAGACCTTCATTGTAAGTCGATAATATCGTTTCCTCTGCAGTTAAACAACCATCAGCGTATGCGCAACTAAAATCACCGACACTATAACCTGTTGCGAAGAAATCGGAACCTTATTAGAGCACAATTATATTTAGGGCTATTATGATGAGAAAAGCAAAAACTTTGTCCCGAACTTTCCAAAATAATCTAGACGGAGGCATGTTAGTCATAATTAATGTTTATGCGCAGAATACGAAATTGTACTTTATAATACGCATTTTACTTTATAATTAATATTTAATTATTTATTATAATTTCAAAATTGCACTTTTACATTACACTCACACGTTTGCATGCATTTATAAATACTTTGATGGAAAATTACAGAAATTCAAAATAGTAATATTATCATAATAATTTTATGGAAGGTGACCTCTTGTGATTAAAAATGCAACTCACCAATAATGTAATCAGGTTCAATGCCAATAGTCTTCAAGACATCAGTGAGACCGATCTGTACAGCGGCGATACCAATGAAGGAGTTGAGGATGTTGTCGTAGATCTTAGGGTCATTCTCAGTGATGATCTTCGTTAGGTTGATGCCTTTAGGTTCTAGAGCTTTGTGGCACCTGGGAGAATAAACGTCTATAGAATCATCTAGAATACACAATCAAGGAGTACTAAAGAAAAACACTCCATTGTACAATGTCCACTCTTATAAAAAAAACTAACTATCTGTCATCATGGTCATCTGTGTTACGTAAACGCCGATACCTAAAGTACTGAGTCTGCCTATCCATGTTTTTATAAATGAAGCAAACATAAATAAATAATTTACAAGTTTCTAGTTGAATAGAACCACTTACTTTTTAATAGTGCTCGCAAAGACAGGTATGTTCATTAGCTCCTTGGCCATACCAGCCCACTGGGAGCCCATACCTGAATATACAAACCACACTGGACGTCTTACCCTTGAGAAGTACTGGATCTCACGCGCTAGAGACACGCTCTTGGTAGCGGTTGAACCTAAAAGATTATGGTTCAGTCAATTTTATTTGTCATTACCATTTTTGTTCGATATCGTGTAGATGGCTAATTATTTCATTAAAAAAAGTCACAATACATCCTTACCCAGCACAGTGTATCCTCTAAAATCATGCCCTGCAATGTCCTTATCATGAATAGCATGCAGGAGACGGATGTGATCAACATCTACTGTCCTGGACTCCAAATCATCGAGGATCCTAGCTACTGCTGACTTAGTGCGTCCTGATACGCACGCGAGGCGAGGTAAGTTGTCTGATGGTAGACCGTGGTTAACCTAATAAGTATTTATTTTTTTATAAATGGCACTAACTCACTTGATAGATAATTGTTATCACAGTCACGAGTTCTTTACATTCAACTATGTATTTAACGGTTATCAGGATACAGAAATAGTACGTGAAAAAACCCCTAACCTTTTCTCTAGCTACATCTTTCAGCAAAACATGAGCGTTGGCGCCTCCAAATCCGAAACTGTTGACTCCTGACATGCCCCTGCCCCAAGGAGTCTTGTCAGTGACCACTGCCAGCCTCTTCTCAGCCAGGGCTGCTACTCCTTCACGCGGTGTTTTGAAATGAATATTAGGAGGAATGTAGCCAGTGTTGTAAGCGATACACATCTGGAAAAAGGTGCTGAGTATAATAGGGTAGACGACTAATTTTTTTTTTTAATGTCCGTCTGGTAGATTATTTAAAAACATTAGACACGTATTTTTTATTTTCTTACGGAAACGAATAGTTTCGAAGATATATTGATTTGAAATGTCGCGTGACGTCACTTCTCAGTACATTTTATACTAAGAAATGACGTTTTAGCCCCCACTCCTAAACTTTGATTCGTTTTATCTAAGTATTGTTTTATTATACAACAAAATAAAAAAATACGTGTCTAATATTTTTTTATTACCTAAGTTACGGACTAATTATATTTTTAATTTTCATACCCTGTCATCTTCCCCATTTATAAAGGATGTTACGTCAAGGCATATAAGAGAAACAAAGTAATACCTTGGCTATAGAACAGAGACCAGATGCAGGCTCAGTATGTCCTAAATTAGACTTGATGGAACCGATCAATAGCGGATCCCTGCGACCGGCGCAGAAGATCTCGTCAATGGCCTGCAACTCTTGAGGATCACCGACTTTCGTACCTGGTGACAAGATTCTGACAATCTTACTCATAGAAGATGTGGTAATTTTCATCATGTCCTTGTACCTCTGTCCTGAATAATTTATATTCTATACCTAGACTTTTGATTAGTCATTACAGGAAGCCATTAGCTTTAAAAATATGCAATGACTGAAAAACTATGCATCTCATAAATATGTATATTATAACCTCATGTATGCGTTGTGCGTTGTGCATTAATCAATAAACTTTGAACTAAGTACTCTTATTTTATGGTAAAGGTCTAAATTATATATAAAGAAAACTGAGGGCCTAATTACAGTTTTTTTTTCACGTTTATGAGTCGACATGTTAACGCATTTAGTTCTCTGTAGGTTAATTAAAGCAGACCAATCAGCGCGCCGAACGCCATAAACATATCGATCGCGGTAACGTAATACAAACTCAAACTAGGCATTCGAATCTTACCTGTACCATGAGCTTCCAGGAATTCTATCATTGATGGAGGAATACTACATTCTTCATAAAACTCTTTTAATAGTAGCTTTTGAGTATCACTGGCAGGGTACGAGATACCATGCTCTTTGTAACCATCACAATTGGTGTTGCCGTGAACCATTCGAGCGTAAACTCTGAAAAAGTAGTGATAGAATAAAAAAATTTTTAGAGTATTTCATCAACCAGAAATAAGAATGTTCATTAAATTATTTAGGGTCTGTGACCATTTATGCATTATGCAGGTACTTGTCTGTAGGATTTTGGTGCACAGAATAGCTGAATTACCTTCTAGAATCCTTAGCTTTCTGCAAAAAGATAATAACAATTGCTTCAGAACGAACATAGCCATTGGCACTGTTGTCGAAACTTTTGCAAGCACCGTCTGGAGATAATAAACCCAATCTAAAAGGGATAAAGACATCATTAATAAATAAATAGAGTTTACATGAATAAACTGCCTTGGCTAATTCTAGACTCTCGGTCTCTTGGCTCGGTAGACGAGCCAATGGTGGATTACACTAAGTTATTAACTAGGGTATTTCTCACCTCACAAACTGCAATGTTACATGGGGATGGAGACACAAGTTGCTTCCTCCGACGATAGCAGCATCACAGTGACCATCCCGAATAGCCCTATATGCATGCACCAGAGCGTAAAGGGAACTTGAGCAGGCAGTGTCTATAGTGTATGAGGGACCAGTTACTCCCAACCAGTAGGAAATACGGTTGGCCAACATGGCTCGGGAACATCTGAAATTAGGGTATACTATTGTAATAATTATTATTTTATTTTCATCCATCCAGCGGCTCCCTTTATAAGCTCGCCTATCCACCTCTTGCGGACATGTTGCTACGTCCAGACACCTGACGGTACGTTCAGTAGTAGATTTCTTGTACCTGATAAACTACTCTATAGGTATTTTCGTAATCTGACAATTGTTTTTTTTTTTTGCTGCAATGTTCTCCCTACTAAAGTTTTTTTTTTTGAGGGGGAAAATCATCCAATGGCTTCTCCCGCCCGTGTGAGGCGAGAGGGAGTCTCAGATACTTACTCACTTACTGTCTAAAAACCACCCCGGTTCTACTACTGCACTTCGAGCTGGAGCCCCGAAAACTCGTTAAGTCCTCCGCGACTCCGTATCGGCATCAGCCTTATTGGGCCCATCTGTGGTGCTTTTGAGGAGCGCGCGGAACACGACGCGCCATACTCTCGGCTGACTCCGGCCTTATGGCGACCGGAAATCGTCTGGAGATCCCCGACCGACGCCCAAAGGGAATCTCGCGACGGCTGGGGCGTGAGGAGGTTCCTTCCCTCACGTGGCCCGCCTCCTCCTTAGCGAACATGACTGCTTCGCGGAAGGAGGACACAGTATCTTATACCTCGTCCCGTACCATAGTCTGAACCAGAGCCAGATGTGAGGGGTCGCCGTCGCCAATCATATTCCTGAGGACATGGCGGTGCTCACCCCATGCAGAGCACACCGCCACCGTATGCTCTACCGTGTTCAATGTATTGAAGCTTAACTTTATAATCTTCTATACTTATAATAAATCTGTAGAGTGGTAAATTCTGTACATAAAATATATTTAAAAAATAACTATCAAGGGGTGGTTAGGGATCGCTTCTGATGCCAAAAATGCAATCAGTAAAATTTTTGTCTGTCTGTCTGTCTGTCTGTATGTTCGTTATGGAAACAAAAACTACTCGACAGATTTTAACGAAATATAGCACAATTATTCTTCATACTCTTGGGCAGGTTATAGTATACTTTTCATTACGCTACGATCAATAGGAGTAGAGCAGTGAAGGGAAATATTGGGAAAACGGGAGAAGTTACTCCATTTTTAAGCTTCCGTCGCGTGTGCAGGCTTAATAGTTAAAGCTACATAGAAATCATATATCACGGAAATGTTCTACATAAAATTATCTAAATAATATCCCACAACATCACATGTCTATCTTTTATGGTTGACTTACAATAACACGTGTAACTCCCGATAGTTTAGCAGTTCGGAGCTTTCTGCTTATATTTGTTTACTCTTACGTTTACAATACTCATCCATTGACTTTACGCTGTAACTGTAGGGCCGATGGCTGAAATTAGCTTGACTCGATATTATAAATGTGAAAATATGTATGTTTGTTACTCAGTCATATTAAAACGACTGAAGGGACCGGAATGAAATTCGGAACAGAGGTAGAGTATGGTGTGAAGTAATACATTGGCATTTTCCCCCTGGAATCGCGGGCGAAGCCGCTGGCAGAAGCTAGTAAATAAATAAAACAGTAATTATCGAATTTGATAAATAAATAAAACAGTAATTATCGAATTTGAGACTTTTTATAAGCTAATCCCACAACTTATAAAATAATTTCTATTTTTGGAACTTATTTTAGTTTATCTTTTGTACACGGATAATTTAAAAAAAAACGTGAAATCTAATAAGAATAAAACAGAAGCAGCAACGAATTTAATTACAGAGGGCGTCGCGGTCGTCGAGCAGACTATACTATATTAAGGTACTGTACTAATGAAATTTCGTGCAAATTATAATATTGAGTAATATTGTTTTGATAAAACATAGAAGATAATAATGTGAGAAAAAAATACGTTTTTGTTTTTTAAATTAATCTACCAGGTGACATTAAAATAAAACGTGGGAAACTATACTATTAATATAGTAGTTCTTCACGCGATTAAAACTTGGTTTTTTAATTAATATAAATATTACGTTTTTAGCTAGCTAAGGGTACGACGACATGGTAGATAAACTATTGTACAAGATTTAGAAAAAAAAAATTACAAGTATTAAAAATTATGATTGTGTTATTAATTATTATACTTATCAAAACGATGACAATCAAACCAAAATGGTTATTGCTACATCTACACTAATAGTTTAAAGAGGAAAGATTTGATTCTTTGTTTAATTGTTTGTCTGAATGGAATCTACTCCTAATTTACCGGGCCGATTTGAAAAATTCTTTTACCGTTGGAATCCTACATTATCGATGATGAACATAGGCTATAATTAATAAGAAAAAAAAAGGAACCGTGTGAAAATGTCGATAATGTAACCCGATGTGTAAAAATTATATCAAAAAACTCCTTACGTTGCTTAAGCCTTCGATTGCCAAAAAAAACTGTTCAACTATCAAGGACCAATAATGGTATTTAGCTGCATCAGATTCAGTCATTATAAAGAAAAAATACTAATTCTTTTTACAGAATACATTTTAATCATGGTCTAGCTTCTGCTCACGGTTTCGCTCGCGCTCTTTTAAAGTATGGTTTAAGCTGGTTTATACAAGATAAAAAAAATTGATGCCGGATGTTTCCTGGTCACATACAAACCATTTCATCACCTGTTTTAGGGAAGCTATTTTCAATCCTTTGTACTATCTACACTCATTAAAAAATCACCTCAATTTCTAACAAAACAAACAGACGTAAGTAAACAAATTTATAATATTAAGTATACCTTCTATTGTTATCTGACATGTTTTTGACAAGTGAGTTTCATGCCAATGGATTATTGGCAATTTATTTTTTTATTATCATGATAAAAAAGCAGCATGATGCAAAGAGGCTGAATACTAATTTTATTAACCACTGAACCTATTTGATTGAAATTCGGTTCAACGAGAGTTTGAGACACTGGCACTGGAAAGGAAATATCACTATCTATAAATAATATTTCACAATAAATATAGGTAACTAAAACTATTCTGGTGAGATTTGTTTCACAACAATACAATTAACCTTGGAGAAGACTAATTAAAAAATCCAAAATTTGCCAGAAATCAAATTCTTCGGTGTATAATAACGCCGAAGAAGTCGCGGGAAACAGCTAGTCATTATTAAAACTCTTTGTAGTTATGTACAACTTAACTTACCCACTTATACCGTATCTATTGATCTGCATTTTCTCGTAGAACCATGTTTTTTCTGACTCTGAGAAGCAAGTTCCAATGAACACACCGACTTTTGTACCGCGGAGTTCTTTGGGGTTCATACCTGGGACCAAAAAGTTGTTTAACAAAAATGTTTACTATTAGATAGTTATTAACATAAGTTACTCAATATTATGTACCTCGTGTATTTAAATAATATTGTCAGTTTAAAAGTAACTAAAACAGTTTTGGAAAGTGCAAGCATAATGTAATTCTTCTAAAAAACTAAGTCTAAAATCTAGACCAAACCGAACTTTTAGTCAAACGCAACTTTAGTGCTTGTCTACAGAGAGACTAGAAATCAAAATGTATAGGAATGACACAGACAATAAGTGTCAAAATATACATCAATTCCATATAATTTGGTTTTCTATTCTACATGTAGACAACCGCTAATAAATTGGCATTTGGCTACAGCTGCAGGACTCAGAATTGGGTCCAGGACCACAACATCTCAACTCACCAGCATCAATGATAGCTTCATAAGCCTTTTCTAACATCATCCTGCACATAGGTTCCATTGTATGGGCCTGTTCGTAATGCACACCAAAGAAGGACGCATCAAATATATTGAGGTTGTTGATCTTGCCTGTACGCTGTGGGATTTCAGAGTGAACCACCTTCCAACGACGAGCATCATTACTAACTAAGTCCACCTAAACAAGAAGAAAGAAAGGTTGCCGCACACATAAAGAAACTTATGAGTTACAAACGATTTCTTCTAGACAAGTTTTAATGGAATTCAAAAATAAATCCGGGAATAGGTAAGTAATCATAATACAACAATAGTAAATGAGAAGAAAAAATAAGTCACAGAATAAAATGGTGCCGGTACGACAACACAATATTTTGCGTTTGTAAGAATAGCAGCAAATTCATATAGGGTTTCATCTGAGCCAGTTCTTGATAGCAAATGTTAAAATACTAGTTAGCTATTAATTTTAAAATTATTCGATTAAATATTTATGACGAATGCTTGAGGAACTATAACATTTTATAACTATGACAAAGCTCAGTGAAAGTACGTTAAATGTCATTAGCTGCGATCGAGTTTGTTATGCTAAACGTTTTTTATAAAAGGGATGCTGTATTGGAATTTAAATGAATAAAACTAAGAAGAAGTTTATTAAACATGCAAAAAACCAATTCAGAGAGGAGTTCGACTCGTCCAGCTTCTTGTTCTACTGAAGATTTTCTGAAGAAGAAGAAACTGGACGAATTTTATCAAATTAAGATTATTTTGTCGCTCGAGCAGTGACTATGACTGGTAGGACTTGTATTACTGTTTATATTTCATCTGCCAAAAGTGAAAAACTTACAAAATAAACGATTTCATGTCTAATATAAGGATTGTTTACGTTGCACATTTAATTTTAGGTTAGTTTTAAATTTCATTTAGTTGGTACTACCTGGGGCGCCCTCATTGATTTTCATTAATAAATAAACAAACTATAGTTGGATTATTCTGTATCTAAAATGTTGTGGTCATCTAGGGATTGTGAAACCAATGTTGTGTGAATTGTCAGAACTATTGAGAACAGCTTGTATAGCGTACCTTATTAAAAAGGTTTTCCTGCAGGTGTATGACAGAGTCCGAGTCGGGGAAGTATCCCGATATGCCTGTGATGAGGACCTCGTCTCCGGGCGGAGGATGCGACAGCCGGTGTCCCGACTGCAGCCTGTCCTCACTTATAGTTGTCGCTGCCATCTTTAATTGCTATTGTTTTGGTAAACAACTGTTTCACTTATTACTTTTCCAGTCTACGTTAGGTGTAACATTTATTACAGTCCAAAGCTAACTGAATAAAGTGAAAGAGAACTTAAACTAGTAATGGTAATGGTTTTCCGTCTTGGTATAATTTAACAAGTACTATTTTGCATTTAATGAATGAAAATGTCACATGCGTAGTGAACTGAAGATCAAGGCCTGTTTGCGTTAACATCGTGTACACTCGTCAACATTTGATAGGCGATATGTTGCCCAACAAGTGGCTCAATATTTGAAACACAGGGCGGATATTATTTGTAAAGCAAACTTTGTCTATCTACACGTGATTCGTGGCCCGTATCAGACATGACACTAGAGGGACTAATATTGATTTGTGTTTCATTTGCATTGAACATTGTGTTTATATTAAGCTGTCAAACACCAAGCGGTCACCAGTGATCGCAACCTATTGTTCTATAATTGTGTCTATAATGACGGTACTCGACGAGTTAAACAACATTTGATGCTCAACAGCATGTTACACTTAAATAAATAGCTTACATACTATACTTTTTTTAAGGTAAGGGGGAGGCATCGAATGACTTCTCCCGCCAGGGTGAGGTTGGAGGGAGTGTCAGACTCTTACTGACTAAAAACCACCCCGTTCCTACTCCTGTACTTCAAGCCGGAGCCCCGGTAACCCGTTAGGTTCTCCGCGACATACATACAATACTGCACCTCAGATAACGTCACACAATGTTCTACGAAAGCTGTTAAATATGTTGAATCCACAAGTTGCGCACCAATTGGGTTTCCTGGGTCAAAAATAAATTATTTTCATATTTCAGTTATAAGATATTGAAAAATATTTACACTTTCATTCATTGATTTGCCGATATCCTTAATTTTCGATTTATTCTAGCATTTTTTAAAGCATTTTAAGCTATTTGATATAAATGTGCTATTTGACGCGAAAATATGATAACGTCATAAGATAGTATTTCGTACAAAATTCATAGGACAGTATCGTCTTTGACATTTCGATAAAAGTATTGAATTTGACTAGTTGTCAACTACCGTATTGTGGCGTAGTTGGTGCTGGTAACTAAGAGGCCTAAATATTTATTTATTTTGCCAACATTACTAATTTATTTGTTATTGTTTGTACAGGAAACATTATTTATTTATTTTATAGTCATAGCGGCAGAAAACCCAATTACAGATCTTATATTTATTTAGATGGATTTTTAATTTTTTCCGTTATTCCTATCGTGTAATATTTCGTCTTGTATTTTACTATTTTCCTATCAATTGTACTTTAAAGCGACTGTCATATGTAATACATATAACCAAGTTCATTTAAAATTATTATGTACAAATTATGGATATGGGTTATGGATATAAGTTGTACCTATTCATTATATTTTTGCTATAGGCAATAAAACAGTAGGTTTTGTGGTGGCCCAGAAGTTTTAAAACGCCCACTTCTTATGCATGAGGATGCGGGTTCGAAATCTATCAACAGCAAGTACCAATTTGAATTGTGACTGTCCATTGCCCATATCATGATATGCCCAGGCCAGATCAATGATAAGAAATCGTTTGACGATAGGGCCAGCTAGATGCACTGCTATTTCATGAACCGATTAATCTCAATCGATCATATCGTGGAATTGTTTCATTGGGTAGAGAAGAAGAGGCGCTGTAAGCGCAAGCGCTTTGTTTTGTTTTGTTCAAGATGGCGGCCCTTGTAAAAGAAGACGAATTTCCTCTCAGCAAAAACACAATTAGTGCATAGACACAATTATAGAACAATAGGTTGCGGTCACCGGTGACCGCTTGGTGTTTGACAGTTTAAACGCGAAAGAAAGTTAAAAGAAAATTTGATCAAAAAGTATTAGAGAGTATGCAAATTATGCAAGTTCCGAGCAAAATGTGAAAAATCAATTGAGTTTGGAACGTATTTTACAGGTTAGGTTAAGTTCCTGGTTTTCATAAAATATTTCATGGTCACCCTATTTTCACAATATGGTCAAACGTAGTTGATCAAATCGATAAACGTGCATCGCTTAATGATTTGGTTATCATTAGTTGGCTACTTCATGAAACGTGAGCACTTCACGAAATGGTCGCCATTTTATGAAATGATCAAATCATCGATTTGGTCACGACAAATCTACCTACTTTCTAAGATTGTTTACACACTACTGGCAAACGGTTAAAGAAAACATCGTGAGGAAACTTGTATATTTATTCTAATTATAAGTTTGAAATCACCAACTCGCATTGAACAAGCGTGGTGATAATGCTCAAACCTTTTCCGTATAAGAAGAGGCTTTGCTTAGCAGTGGGCATTTATAGGATGTTGATAATGATGATACAATAAAACAACAAAACAGAAGAATAATGAACGTTTATTACGGGTTTTGGATTTAAAACCATACAGTCATTTGTACACTTAATAATAATAATTTAATACTCAGTAGTTATTAAGTAGTAATCTGCCCTAGAAAAGTACAATTTTTTGACTTAAGTATTACCCTACGTAATTTGCGTATTAAGTAAAAACGCGGGTTACTCACGTGAATATAATGAGAAAAGCTCTACTAGTTTCGAACCATAGAGGGGGCTCACTGAGCTGCGCGACGTCGCCGCGACCGCGCACTCTGCTCATGAGGAAGAACCCCTCTGTGGTTCGAAACTAGTAGAGCTTTTCCCAGTATATTCACGTGAGTAACCCGCGTTTTTACTTAATTTAGTATGTCTCACGATAGTTATTAATTTGTGTATGTTATTTATATCTACCTTATTGAAATATAATAACGTCAGTGGAAAGGGAAAAATGATAAAACGCCACATGGGCCAAAATGAGTTTTATACATTGCTGAATAGATATTTTTTTCTGCGCTAATCTGTGTAGGTATCGTGTCAACCGGTCTATTTTTTTGGCGCTTAAGTAATTAGAAGTTTTTCATAAATCACAGCCCACGTAGCTACTAAAGCGACGTATTTTCAGTGAAGCAACAAATGTCGCATAAGTATTTTTTCACTGGCAAAGTGTTTTGAAATTCACAACATAAGTATTTTTTTGCTATTTTAGATCTCGATTCTCGGTCTCTTTAGAAATTCTCGGTCGCTTTAGAAAATATCACTATTTTGTTATCTAAATAAGCTTTAAACCTGATATTTTCATCAAATATAATGTACGAAACGAAATAGGAACACGATGACCTTTTAAAGGAACAGTTTAACATTAATACCCAAAAAGATATGATTTTTTTTCGCAAAATTTCAACTTTGGTCCTCTTTTGCCACAAATAGCGTTTTGGCGCTTTAGTGTTTTTCCCTTTCCACTGACGATAAGGATATCAGATGCAATAACAATATTTGTACTGACAATGTAATTTTTACCGATTTATCATATTTGTGCTTGAATTTCTGCTTTCATACAATCCTGGTTACTTATTGATTGCATTACTTTTCGTTATTATCAGCCAAAACTCTATTGATGATGTTAGCACAGTCCTTGTTCTCAATGATAGAGACATGGTTACCCTCCAGGAAGTGTACGGTGACATTGTTCTCTGTGTACTTGTCGAGTCCATAGTTCTCTTCTACAGCTACGAAGGACGGGTTCTCTTTGGGACGAAGAAGGACGATTGGAGACTGTAGCTTCCTGAAAGCCTTCGGATCAAAGTCAAGGATAGTCTTCAGCCTGTCGAAGGAAGCTCGAGCAATGTTTGCAAAGAACTTGTTGGAATAATTGTTCTGTATTGGAGACATTTCGACTGTCAAAGCAATTCTTTCTTCATAAGACTCGATCTTGTTGAGTTTGTCCATAAACTCGTTAGCAACGTCAAGGTTAGGAGCAAGAATACTTAAAGTGTGACACAGCAAGCTGTTCTGCAGTTGGAAGTCATTTTTAATATTCATGGTCTTAGAAATAATTGCGTAGAGGAAATCAGGGGCACCGTCCAGGCAGAATACAGTTCCATTGAAACCTGGAAGCAATAGAGCAGATTAGTATGTATGTTGTAAATTTTGATATAGCAGATACGAACTTCTATTAACGTGAAAGTTTTAATCTTTTTACCTGCTTTCTCCAGCCTCGAAGCCAGCTCCAAAGTGAGGAGAGTACCATAACTGTATCCGAGGAGCCAAAATGGAGCACCAGGTGCTAGTTGTGATATCATCGTCTGTGAAGAGCAAAAATGAGAACATTATATTTGTTTAATTAGATAGTTCATAACATATAACTTCAGACTTGTATTGCTTAGATAAAGCGCTCACTTGGTATAACCTGATCACCATCTGGTCCATGTTCTCGTTCTTGTGTTCCACACCGAGCTGCAGCACGCAGACCTTGATCTCTAATCTTTTACATAGCTGCTCCAGCGTCGCTGCGAAACCCTCTAGCCCTGGCAGCATGAACATCACCCGGTCTCTTGCAGGGGTAACTCCTTGGTCCTGGACCAATCAAATTACAATAAATTATTAGCAAATGATGCTAATTTTAAAACCATCTTATCCGATTTAGAACAATCGAGGTATTTCAGATAGGTATAAATAATCTCGCCTCCATCTCGTCGCTAACTATGGAAGGCATGTAGATGCAAGGTTCTGAAGCTGTTTTCTCATCTCCAAAGTTCCTCATCAGCACACGAAGACCGACGCCTTGCACGTTAGTGGAGTTATATGTTGATGCAGAGGATGAAGCTTCATGTTGTGCTGTTAATTCTGCCAGTCTAGGAAAAGAGATTAATTTAAAACAATCATGCGAAATTGACCTTGACAAAAAAGATAAAATTATATGTATATCGTGTGTATTTATTTGTAAAATTAATGTAGATATCAGCTACCATGCTGGAACATACTATCTGTTCCATTCCTTAGTACAAGGAGACTTGACATGAAGCGTTTATTGCGTGCGAATGGGTGGAATATCACCATATAAGAGTGGTGCATAAAAGTCAACCACACATGTGCGAGCGCAAGAACTCAAAGCCCTTTATAGCCTGATCTTACACAAATATGGTCCTAAAATGCACTCAAAAAGGTTATTCAGACGATTTAATAGACTTACTTCGCGAATGTCAAGGTTCTAATATCTTGTGCCGTGAGGAAAATCTCAAATTCTCTTTCCAGTGTTTGATTAATCTCCAAAGCCATCATACTGTCCATACCCAACTCAGCCAGAGAACTTTGTTGCGATACCGTCTTCAAATCTTTAATACCTGATGAATAAACGTAGGATTGGTTCTGGTTCTATTTTAAAGTGTAGAGGTATATGAAAACATAGGGTTTTCATATACCTCTCCAATAAATCAAATATAAATAAATCAAAATCAAATATAATTATTTTTAAGAGAACAATAAATATTGAATGAATGAAACATTTTAAACTAACGATCGTAAGAAATTAATGATTTATTAAGGACATCGCTTAATAATATAGTTAATTAATAAACAAACCAATCTTACCCAAAATTTGTGCTACTGCTTCTACTGCATTGGCACATCCTTCGGCCCCAGTCTTCTTCTCAGCCACCACAATTGATGACACAATGGGAGCATCCTGCTTCATGAACTTATCGAGAGCGGTCAGACAGGAAGATATCCTTTGCTGCAGGGTTCCTCCGATCTCAAGTTGGACATCTTCCTCCTGTAAGTCGGCTATCAAACCCACCTGTAGGAATTTGTGCAGAATTTGGTTTTTAATTTTATTTGTGTATTGTATCAACACCTATTTGCTTGTACTTCCAATTTTTTCCATACACATAGACACAAATCAACCATTAAGTATTCACCAGAGGGTTCAACATCATCATCATCAACCTATAAGTGGCCACTGATGACTAAAGGACTCTTTTCGCACGGAGAAGGTTTGGGCATTAATCATTACGCTTGCTCAATGCAGGTTGGCAATTTCAAACTTATGATTAGAAATTATAAGCCCGGGTTTCCTCACGATTTTTTCCTTCACCGTTTGTCAGTGGTGTCTAGATAATCTTAGAAGGTACATATAACTCGGAATAGTCGCAGAGGTACTTGCCCTTCATAGATTTCGAATGCGTACTCACATACATGAAAAGCGAGCTTCTTAAACCTCTGGACCACTATGACATTTACCACTATTCACCATAGGGTTATAAAAGTATATTTCAAAATATTATGTAGGTACTCACATCTGCAATAGCTCCCCATTGTACAGCTAGAGCTGGGAGGCCATACTTCTTCCTCCCTTCACAGATCCTTTCCATCACAGAGTTGGAGTAGCCGTAGTTGGCTTGGCCAGCATTACCACGACCACAGGATATAGATGAGAAGATCACAAAATCCCTAGAGTAAAAGAAAATTACGTTGAAAAAATTAATATATAACTTATACAAATTCTGTAAATCTCTAGATGCATCTAACAAATGTCAAAGAGCCATTCTTCGGCACGAATAGACCGGCTCGATCGGAGTGACGGCCTCACAGAAAACCGACGTGAAACGATACTTGTGTTGTGTTTCGTTGTGTGATTCCCAATCCCCGAATCCCCTACAATCTTCAAATTCCTAATCCCCAATAGGTCGGTAACACTTGTAACTCCTTTGGTGTTTCGAAGGTTCATGGGCGGTGCCGATTGCTTACCACCAGTTGATTTGTCTACTCATTTATAAGCTTATTTCAAAACTACGATTGGCTTAAAATGACTGATTTGATACTCACTTTAAGTCTGGACACAACATTCTCGATAATTTGTCCAAGTGCATAGTAGCAAGCCCCTTTGGTGCGAAAGATGTTTTGAAGCTTTCAGGAGTCTGGTTTTCGAAGATGGAATCCTTCAAAACGACAGCCAAGTTGAAAATAGCATGAACGGGCCCCATGTTCAGCGCCATCTTGAGCATTCCCTCACATCCAGACTCAGTGGTGACGTCATGTGTTGAAATCTGGACATCGGCACCGTAGGATTCCCAAGCCCTAAATGGTCATAATTAAATAGTTTAGTTTTGGGAAAACTAAACTAATATGTGTATAACCAAAATAAATATAAACAAATAACTAAATACAACAAATAACTAAAACTCGTATGTGTATAACCAAAATTAAGTATTAACTTAATTCATTACTATCTACCTCTAATTATGTATCTCGCCATCAAACGTTAAAGTTTGGCGAGTTTAAATTTATGGTTACTATTCGATACATTATCCACGATCGAACACGTTTTGCTGATTTAGCAACTCAAACACGACACGCTAAGTGCAGCGCGGCTTCAGTACATATTCGGACAGCAAACCGGGTGCGTTCGTACTCATTAGCATATCATTTAGCATAAATTTACCGTTTTTTGCAATAAATCCTTGAAGTTATTTAAGTTTTTAATTTATCAGCATAGCAAGTCTATATCACTACGGTCGCGACTCCTACAATTACACCTAGATGTAAAATTACAATGAATAATTTAAAAAAAGGACTAATTAGTACAACAGATTTCAAAGGCCAACCTCAATCGAGATGACTGGTATCCGTTGCTGATACCTCTGCGAGAGTTGAGCAAAATTTTCCTTGCACCTCGTATGATGAGCCAGTCAGCCAGCTCCAATCCGAAGCCTCCTAGACCACCCACCACCACGTAAACACGGTCTTCATGACAAATGTACCTGGTGAAAGAGACTTACTAACGTTGAGATAAAGAGGGATTTGGAATGGCAGAAGACTATACATGTAAATAGGTAAACCAAGATTCTATTTACCAACTACTATAAAATAATTTTGAAGCCATAATGGAATTGTAATTTACCTCGGTACAGCATCAATAGGTATCGGTATTGATCTAACGGGATGTGTATTGCGCTCTTCCTCACGGATCTTAACGATCACCTGTGATAAAACAATTAACAAATTATCAAATAGCATATTTCAATAAGCCTCAAATTTCAATATTATTATGGAGTAGTATTGATAGAAAAAATATTTAATAGAAAAGCGAATAAAGAAACGAACATTTATAAAAATTAAAATCCAAGTTTAATTTTTATATCCGAGACCGCGTTCGGTGCACTGATTGGTTAGTTTATTGAAACCGACCAATCAGAGTCTTGTACAATATACAAATTTGCCCATTTACCTTTCCGATGTGTTTGCCAGCAGCCATGTAGCGGAAGGCATTTTCCACTTCATTGGCCTTAAACGTGCAGTAAGTCAAAGGTTTGACGGCACCGTCTTCAATGCCGTTTAGAAGCAGATCTTGCAAACGCTACAATAGGTATGTATAATCAAAGACATGCTGAATGATTGGTATTCATTATACATTCCATTTTTCCAGAGAATTTTACAGACAAATGATCTTTACTGTCAGTGGAAGCTAAATAATTGTTGAAAAAGCATAACAATTAATTAAAACTAGTCATAACAGATTGGTGACATTAGACATAGTAACTGACCTTCCTGACGATGGCGTCCTGATTGAAGATGTAGTTCAACATGACACCGTGGAAGGTGATTTCCTTTGATGAGAAGTACATAGCGATGGCAGTGTTGTTACTGATGTCAAACTTACCGATTTCAAGGAAGCGACCTCTGAACGCCAGGCAACGGACTGATGCCTAAGTAAATTAGGTAAAAAAATGGAAGTGAATTAAATAGGTATAACTTTTAATGAGTTGTAACCGAATAAAAATGTTACCAACCTGTAGTTTATCATCAGACAAGGAGTTGAGCACCATGTCGACACCCTTACCGTTGGTCTCGCGTCTGATCATGTCTTCGAAGGACGTATCACGAGAATTCCCGATGTGACTATCTTTAAGTTGTGGGAACAGCTTCTTGATGAAAGCTCTCTTCTCCGCGGTACCGACGGTGGTGAAAACTTCACAGCCATAATGGAGCGCTACATTGATGGCGGCCTGACCTACTCCTCCAGAACCAGCGTGGATGAGAATAGACTCGCCGCGCTGCATCTCACCGAACATGACCTGTGAGAAAATTTTATAACGAAATATAGGTTTATAATATCCCTCCAATACCTCGTTTTTTCAATCGATTAAGTTTAAATCAGCATTAAATGAACCAGATTTTTATAAATCACTTCAACTTTGATGAAATATTTTTTAACATTTTTGTCCGTATTATGCAAACAATCAATTTAATAGCTATAGTATACACAACTTACCATAGCATAATACACAGTTCCATAAGCTACAGGTACAGTAGCGGCTTCCTCGAAGGTCCACTCGTCTGGAATGGGGCACAGGCTCTGCCGGTCTCCCTCGACCAAGTTTGCTATACCTCGGTTACGAACCATACCCATGACACGAGTACCACTGTACAAATTAACATTAGTGTTAAGACATTACTTACCTACCTTGAGCTAACATGGTAATTAATACTCAGAATTTCTCCGTGCGAGAGGAAGCCTTTGCTCAGCGATGGGAACTTATATCTTGATGATGATAATAATGACGTTAGGACTCCTTAACACATTTAAAAATTAAATTATATAAAAATGAATTTATCAATATATTGAAAAATAGTAATTATAATAAATACTCCACGCTAGCGAAGCCTCGGGTATCAGCTAGTACACAATAACATGAATCATCAACTTACTTGATGGTCTTGCCGACAACTTCAATGCCTTTCACGCACTCCTGCGCGAGACGACCGCGATCGATAGCATCTACTGTGACACGACCAATGGCTGTCATGACGTCACGGAAGTTTAAAGCGGCGCAGTATACCTGATGATAAATGTAATAATTGAAATGTTTACAGCGAGTCTAAAGACTAAAAAGTTTTATTTCTTCTCGATGTGAGAAATTATGAAAAATCCACAACGTTTGTTCATTAATAAGTAGTTTCTAAACATCGGAAATTGTTGTTGTGTCTACTACACGGACATAAATGATGACGCAATCAGCAAAATAATCAGACGGGCGCTGGGTGAGGGTGAGCAGGGAATCCTGGACTATAATCTAAAAATGGCAATCAAGAATAGAGATGCGCCCGGCCTGTTGTGGGCGCCCTTCTGGGTGGAGACGGTTCGTAAAGCTGCACAACTGATGAAAAGGTCCAGATATCAAAAAAAAATTCATGCATTGGAGCTGTTGTTTACATGTTTTGGTGTGTTCGCTAAAAATTGTATCTATTAATAATGTAAAGTAAAGTAATATAAGTTTATTAATAAGACAAACAAAAACCACTAGCACTACTGCAATTGGCTTACTGCCGCGTGTGCGGGAACGTCATGCATTCTTAAATGTTCCACAGTCGGTGGCGCTGTGGGCTGGGTCGTTCCGTTCCCTACGAAATGGTTGAACGGACCGATTGCTGGCCTACACGTCATACCCGTGAACGGGTGCCATCTGCTGGAACAGGTCGGCTCGTTCATCGTGCTGGTGGACTTATTCAGTAGGGTTAGTCTAAGATAATAAGACTATAATATATAAGAATATAAATAGGTAACAACATAAAGTATTGTGTGTAGTGATAGTGATAGGCGTAGCATGTAAAATCTTTATAAAAAAATATATATTTGACCATGAAAATTATGTACTTGTAACATGACAAGGGCACGGACACGAGTCCGTAGAGAAATTCAATTTATTATTTATTAAAAAAAAACATCGGAAATAAGATCTATAATGTTGTAAGGTGGACAGCGGTCACCGGTGATTGCTTCGATGTGGACCAGTCGTCACTGCTGTATCACATACAGTTGAAGTTATACTTACGGTTATAGTTGTAACTGCACTACCTTAAACTGTAAGGTCTAGTTTGCAAGGTAGCTTTAATACTATAACTTACAGCTTGTTTACCTCTTCTTTCATAAAAAACCGCAGCAGACGGATAACCTGATGCTAAGCGATCAACACCGGTCATGGCCACCCGTAACACCAGATAAGTTACAGGTGCGTTACCGGTCTTTTAATCAAAAACACTAAAAATACTTATATTTGTAGGTATATAGTAAAAAAACATGGTGTGCCTCACGTGAATTAACAGTTTTTCTTTGTCCTTAAATATATGGTTGTCCCTGATAGTTCCTTCGACCCATTTTAGTGAGGAAAGATCTCCGATGGTAAGAGCATTGACATAGGCATGGTTAACAGGAATTGTCTCTAAGTCATCTAAGAGAAGATGTCGGTAAGTGCCCCATTGACCCTGTACAAAAATCGTATAAATAAAAAACGTCGTCTAAACATTTTCATGTAGATACTAAATCATCGTAAAATAGTCATTAGGTAATTATTACTTACATCCTTGTATACGTTAATAGCCAAATCCTTTTTCATCTGTTCTTCGTAAAACTCTTCGTCAGGGTTGAACGGAGGAGCTGATGGGTCAGAAATGAGGAGACCATACACGATCTCACCACCAGGTTCCGCCCGCAAACAGTTCACTAATCCTAAGAGACCGTTGATATGTTCATCTTGTGCGTAAAGTACCACTTTCTGGCTTCCGTTGAGTTCTTCCTTGACTTTTTCTACCCACGAGAAAGTATCATCAGCAGCTAAAATTCTTATGAACTTGGCTGGTCTTGTTCCTACTCGGTTTCTTAAGAGCACCAAGTATTCAAAGCCCGTGTTGTAAACAGTGACGATGTCGTATCTGTCAGTGACTATCTTTAAGTCAGGATGTTCTGTTTCACGACTTATTATGAAGGCCTTGCCACGTAGGGTGCTGAATGCTTGTTGTAGGACCTGCTTAAAATAAATCGGTAACCAGCATTGAATTTTGCTAATATATTAACTAGTGTTCTATACGTACCTCAGGTCTACCAAGGAGATTAGCACCAATGAACAGTACTGTGTTACTCTCTCCGACTAATTTTCTATTTTCGACGGTAATATTGGAAGATACCTCAAAGGGCTCTTCGGAAATCATCAATAGTTCAGCTTGCGTGTTGGGCAAATCTCCTAGCATGTGTCCAACGTGTTCTAAGATAGGCTTTAGATCGTTCTTCTTGTGTTCTTCGTCGACTAACTCAATACATTTGACTTTGTGTATTTGAATATTCTCCAAAACCAGCTGGACGTTCGCACGAAGAATATCTTCAATCTAGTAATTAGAGATTTACTTTGGTTATTAAATTATTTACACTAAACTTAATGCTACGTTCATCATTTGATTAATATTTACCTTCATCTTAGATTTTCCAAAGTTGGGAATAAACTTGTATTTCTGAAGTACGGGTATGCCAAGAGGTTGCCTTTTGGTAATGGGTGTAGCATGAAGACCCCGTATTTCGATACCACCAGCCCTGAGAAAATAAAAAAAAATGTCAAAAGTAAGTCAAAGCATTTATTTCAATTAAACCATAATTTGTTACTTTGAAACGTCAACAAATACAAAATTAATAATAGTCTGTCAGTTAGTCCGTCAGGGAAGCTAGGTGAAGCTAGGTGCTCATTCCAAAATGAAGATTGGAATGGAAAAGAAGGAGCAAGAAGCTCCTATCGTTACTCTTTTAAAAAAAGTATGTTCTACAATGTTTCTGATACATAATGCTCCAATACGTACGTTTACATATGTGGGAACGATGCAAAGACATGCTTGATGCATTATACATATTACAAAACTTACTAAAATATAAAATAAGAAATCTTAAGTCTAACACAGTGCTTACCTATGCATACTGACAATCTGTAAAAATATGCTTCTAAACAAGAAAAAAGAAACTCTTTGTTTCAATAAAGAAAGAAATGCTCGATGCTATAAGGAAACTGATTGCCTACATTAGAATGAAAGTATAATTCTCTACTATTGGAATCTGAGTAACTACTGACTATATTTGAGTATTGTCCAGCGGAGCCGAACTAACATGCTGCCAAGCATTCTTATCTACAAGATAATCTGTCAGTTTGTAGTAAGCTCGATTACATAATTTGCGCTTATATGTTTTAAATTTACTTTCATTAAGGTCTAGTATGCTACTTGGTATTTTATTATGTCATTTAATACATAACCCCATGAAGGATTTTTGTATCTTGGTCAGTCGGAATTGCGGTATAGCTAACTCATTTGTACCTCTAGTATTAAAATTGAGTCTATCGCTTCTCTTTTCAATCAATTGCCTATTTTTCCTTTCATATATTATATTTTCGTATATGTATTAACAGGGCACAGTTAAAATATTTATCGTTTAAATAATTCTCTTAGCGATTCGCAACGGCTTAAGTTTATGTAAAGCATAGTATTGTTCGGATAGCCCGCTTTTTTAGAATAAAAATTGATTCTACAGTACTGATTATAGTAACCAAAATATTGCTAAAGATAGGCGTTACACATCATTGAAGTAGGGAATTATTTAATGATCTCCTTACCTGACAACGTTGACATCTGGGTATACACGGACCTCAAAAGACTTTCTCTTCGAGTCCGGATTCATTTTTGATATTGCATTACAGTGCATAGAAGCATCGATGGAGAGTTTGTCAATCCTAGTGGGTACAGAGAGACCTCTGGTGTCTTGGCCTATGATCATCATCTGCATCATGCAGTCCATGAATGTAACCCAGTTGTTGTCCCAAGCGATACGACCGCGGGTAGAGTCAACGTTGCAACCGAGGATGCCACGGAAAAGGCCGCTGTGGAAAAGTAAAATATTTTTATGAAGTTGTTGTTTATAAAGTATCTTATTCTCATCAACGTACCTGACGTTTTTCGTTTCTTTATTCCTAACTGTCGTATATCCTTGTAGCTCTATGGTCTAAAGCGCCAGCTTTTCATGCATGAGGGTGTGGGTTCGAAACCTACCAACGGCATGTACCAATGTGACTATTTCCGAGCTATATGTACTTTCTAAGATTATTTGGACACCACTGACAAACGATGAAGGAAAACATCATGAGGAAACCGGGGCTTATAATTTCTAACTATAAGTTTGAAATCGCCAACCCGCATTGAAAAAGCGTGGTGATTGATGCTCAAACCTCCGCGTGAGAAGAGGTTTTTGGTTATCAGTGGCCACTTATAGGCTGTTGATATGATGATGTGATTCCTACCTGTATTGATATCCTCTAAGACGCAGTTCTTTGTAGAAATCTTTAGTCAGCAAGTGTTTGAAAGCAGGACGTTTAACTTCCGGCAAGTGCGGGAGTACCCTGAAATCTTGACTGACGTTCTTCTTGGCATAGATACGACCGATCACGATAGGAACGCCACTTTCGGAGATCTAAGGAGTCATATACATAAATCCATGTCATATCTTTTTAGGCTTTAATAAAATAAGAGTCGCTAACAAAACCTTACCTCAAAGTTGCCACTTTTTTTGTGGATTGTGATGGTAAACTCCAGGCTTCCTTCTTTAGGAATGTTGGTAGCTCTCTGGAAGCGCACGTTCTCGAAGACTACTGATATTTCCGTAAAAGGTTCTCCCATCATCATACCGAGGGTCTCCCACACCAAGAATAGATAGCCGGTGGCAGGATATAAGTTGCGACCTGTTTATATGGTAAACATTTTTTTCGGTAGTTTATTCAAGTGAAAATGGATAGTTAAATTATTAGTAATAGTTAACTAGTTAAATTCCCAAAGATAGCTGATTACATCAAACATTTCACTTACGTCTCTCAATGAATTTCTTTAATTTTGTTCAATAATCGTTTTTGTTCATAGACCTGATATCTTATCTTATCCTTATGATGTCTGTGACAATTATTGACTTATGAGACAACCGATCCTGGAGTTACATCAGTAAAAATCTGGCTTTTTTCATTGACGTCTCTCGGTACATGACGATTTGGGTCCAAAAATATGGTCTATGATCCTCTGGCCCTGCTCTTTTACCAAAATCAGATCAGCAGATTATATTTTCTGTTAATTATTATACTTACCATCAACGACATGACCAGTCAGGAACTCGGATTCGTCATCCTCAATTGACTTCCAAACCGTCCTCTCACCAACATTCATTTTGTCAAGATCATTGTATGATGTCACAAACCTAAGCACAAAACAGATTCACAGTCAAATGGTTGTGACGTTAAGTACAGCATTATTTGGTTTTATAAGATGTATGACTTACCAGTTCTCACTATGTTCCCATTCAACGAGGTGGGCAAGCATAGGCGTACCCTGTGACACGGGGAATGGTACATGTGGGTAGACGTTGGCTAGATGTGGGTTCAGACCTGACTCGTATAGTCTGCGGTATAAATACGATATCTTATAAATAAGTACTGAGCTTAATTGCAGACTTTTATTCCAGAATCATCATAAACATCGACTTACTTTCCAATAGCAGTAAACAGAACCTGGATATTGTCCGGGTGGTCTTTCTGTGTCAAAGCAACGTTGATGACGTCCTTCTTCAGAGACTTGCGCAGGATAGCTTGCAGCAGACCGTGGGGGGCGATCTCGATGGTGATCGCGTTAGTGTGGATCAGACGAACTGTCTTCTCAAATAACACTGGACTCTGCTAATAATGATTGTAACAGAAAACGTTACTAGTTATTATTTGGGTATTGGGTATGGTATAATTTACTACTGAATTGAGGTCATATTGTGTAGAATCATGATTATGAACTGATTATTATTCAAAGGATACTCACGGATGACAATATCCTAACTCTCAAGAAAACTGGTTTACGTACCTCATGACCATTTTTCTGACATTTAGTAGAAGCTTTCGGATTTTTACATTGACCCTGCAGTAGTGGAGTAGATACCCAATTGTCGGAACGTCGTTTGAAATTTTTGACAACCTGTATCAACGAGAAGGACATTCAAGAGAGTAATTTACAAAATTATCTTGAAAGATAGAGTAGCATATTACAATCTGCACCTGTTCAACGCCGATGGCAGCTGTGAAAGGTTTCTTATTGTAATCCAAGCCCTGGCGGTAAGCGGTTAAGATGGTATCCTCTGCAATTAAACAGCCTTCGACGTATGCGCAAACGAGTTCTCCGACACTGTCACCTATTCAAAGAAAATCGTAACTTTTTTATGGGATAAGCCGGTAAACTAACGTCAAACAAAACATTTTTCGCACCAAATCAGTAATATTAAGCCAACCGTAGTTTTGGAATAAGCCGGTAAACGAGTAGACGGATCACCTGATGATAAGTAATCGGCGTTAGCAGTGCGTTACGTTATTGTAGTGGATTCGGGGATTGGGGAGACTGGCGAGGGGGGCGGGGATAATTGGGCCTCCGGTAACCTCACTCACACGACGAAACATAACGCAAGCATTGATTCACATCAGTTTTCTGTGAGGTCGTGGTATCACTCCTGTTGAGCCGGCCCATTTGGACCGAAGCGTGGCTCTCCCATACTTAGTATCAAATCACATTTTTATTGTCAGTTTAGTACTACTAGTTTTTTTACAGTGAATTTGAAGGACAAATAAACGCGAAGGAAAGGTTGTCTACTTTGAGAACTTTTCGGTAATTATAAAACTCACCAATGATGTAATCAGGTTCAATGCCAATAGTCTTCAAGACATCAGTGAGACCGATCTGTACAGCAGCGATACCAATGAAGGAGTTAAGGATGTTGTCGTAGATCTTAGGGTCATTCTCAGTGATAATCTTCGTCAGGTTGAGGCCTTTAGGTTCAAGAGCTTTGTGGCACCTGGGAGAGTAATAAAAGAAATAATTAATTACTTTAATTGAACTTTTTTACCTACTTCTTCTGTTACGAGCAATTAACGAGAAATATAAACTTTAAAATTACTAACTTCTCAATAGCAGCAGAAAAGACGGAGATCCTCATGAGCTGCTTGGCCATACCGGCCCACTGGGAGCCTATACCCGAGTACACGAACCATACTGGACGACGCACTCCTGAGAAATACTGGATCTCACGCGCTAGAGACACACTTTTCCTGGGAGTCGAACCTAAAATCAGGTCGTGATGTGTTTGTAACTCTTCAGAAGGAAGATCATATTGTCTAATTGATTATATTGTCTAATAAAGATAATCATCAGCTTCAGCAATATATATTTTGATTGAATATAAAGTTACTTAGTAGTGTGTATCCTCTATAATTATGCCCTGCTATATCGTCAGCATGAATAGCGTGTACCAGACGGATCAGATCAACATCTACTGTCCTGGACTCCAAGTCATCAAGGATCCTGGCTACTGCTGACTTCGAACGACCTGATACGCAGGCGAGACGGGGAAGGTCGTCTGATGGAATGCCATTGTTGACCTGATGAACAATATTGTCAAGTATTGATATTAGGAAATAGATGAATGTGATAAAGGTACATAAACATACCCTTACCTTTGCTCTAGCGACATCTTTTAACAGAGCGTGAGCGTTGGCTCCTCCAAACCCAAAACTGTTGACTCCTGACATGCCCCTGCCCCAAGAAGTCTTTTCTGTTACGACTGAGACCCTTTTTTCAACCAGAGGTGCTACTCCTTCGCGAGGTGTTTTGAAGTGAATATTTGGAGGAATGTAGCCAGTGTTGTAAGCAATGCACATCTGGAAAAAGTGGTTGTATATTTTATATTTATGAAAGTGTCTGTTTGTGTAGAGCAAAACAAGCAATATTAGCAAATTCGTACTTTAGCAATAGAACAGAGCCCGGAGGCAGGTTCACTGTGTCCCAAATTGGACTTAATGGAACCGATCAATAAAGGTTCATTCCGACCGGTGCATAAAATTTCATCAATGGCCTGCAACTCTTGAGGATCTCCGACCCTGGTACCTGTGACAAGATTTTAGTGCTTGAAAAAGTACAAAGATTGTTGTCCGTATATTATTTGTCTGTAAGTGTCTTGATATCATATTTGTTATTATTGGGTTTCCTATACCTTATAATTAGTAGTAGATACCTGGATAACCGGCTTTGCTCGGTATTTTTATTAGTAAACGACCTAGATAGATCGATTTGCCGCTCCCTTTGGACATTAAGTTTGAAGAAAATTGTTATAGCCGTTTTATGATCGTTGATACGTATTATAAAACTTGTGGTACCTGTGCCGTGAGCCTCCAGGTATTCCAAGACGGACGGTGAGATGGCGCACTCTTCGTAGAACTCTTTTAACAGTAGCTTCTGAACAATACTAGCAGGGTACGAAATACCTTGTTCTTTGTAACCATCACAATTGGTCTTGCCATGAATCATCTGAGCATAAACACTGGTAAAACACAAAGTAATTCCAATTTAAAGAATTTGTACGAATTGAATAATACGTTCAATTGGAAAAACGAAAACCCATGACTATAAAAATCTATTTTTAAATCAAATAAATCTAATTCAGAGATTAATTTCCTACGAATAAAAATAAAAACAAGACTTAACTCAGAACTCTTAAACATAAGTCTACCTTAACTATGGGCTGTACAGATTCACGTGACCCGAGCACATCGATTAAAATAGTAACAGCATTGACTTACCGTCTAGAATCCTTAGCTCTCTGCAAAAAGACGACCACAATCGCCTCAGAACGAGCGTAGCCATTGGCACTGTTGTCAAAACTCTTGCAAGCACCGTCAGGTGACAATACTCCCAATCTAGAATTGAGACTTCAATAGTAAATTGTTTTTATAATAACTAGGTCAGTGGATAGCCTTAGGGGGCGCTATGGCGCGGGACTTAGAAAACTTTTCGAAAAAAAAAACATTTTTTTTCAAATTGGCACCATTCGCTTATAGGCACCATGAGCCGTGCAGAAAACAAAAAAAAATTAGGTTAATAAAATCAGTCAATATTTAGACTACTTCAGCGCTCAGCGGCCGCTGACGCGGCACCGCTCGCTATACTCGCTCGCCTCGCGCCTTGTGAGAGTCACAGTTCTAACCTAACTTAACCAAATGTGTCGGGGTGCCCAAAAAGTGCTTTTACTTAGTCCCTCAACTTACCTTTAGGGCTCATTTTCTGGCGAATCTGATGCCCTAGGTAAAAAGTGCCCAAATAATATTCCTCCGATAGATATGAAAAACCAGCCACTAATTTTTGATGAAAATTTTTTTAAGTTCCGCGCCATAGCGCCCCTAAGGCTACACTCCAACCAATAACTATCGTAAGACATACTAAATTAAAATTCGCGATAGTAGGCTGCGCACGCTGCTTACGATGAAGAACCCTTCTGTGGTTCAGACATAACAGATAACATTTTGCATTAATGTTTTTTACCTAGCAAACTGTAAGGACACATAGGGATGGAGACACAAGTTGTTCCCTCCAACGATGGCAGCATCACAGTGGCCATCGCGGATAGCCCTATAAGCATGTACTAGTGCATAAAAAGAACTGGAGCAGGCAGTGTCTATAGTGTATGAGGGACCAGTCACTCCCAACCAGTAGGAGACACGGTTCGCCAACATGGCACGGGAACATCTGGAATTGAGAAAAACATTTTATTACAAAAGGGTTAAAGATATTATATTTGATGAAATGCCATGCCATCATCAACTCCAAGTGTCAGCTTGGAGTTGTAATGCTCAATCAAAGGTCTCAATGGCGGTGGAACGTACAATGGATCGCTCGACTCCCCACAATATGGTTGAGTTGGGCGGTGCTGGTGTACGTGTCATGTTCGTGACTGAACGCCATCAACTGGGATTGATAAGCTGCAGAATGTATTATTTACTGTCCTTTAGTTTATTTTTTTCGATCTCTTTGACTGGATTTTAGTGTTACATTATAACAACATTACACCATATAACTAGAGAGTTGTATTGTAAACCTGATTGAAAAAACGTTATCTATGGAGTTTCTTGCTCATTCTTCTCCATAAGAATCTACACCTTGGAATGAGCAAATAAGTTTACTTTTGATTTTTTGCTGACGTTCAATATTGCCTTTCTGGTCTAATTGATATAAATGATTTTGACTTTCACTTTAACTTACCCAGTTATGCCGTAATGGTTTATCTGCATCTTCTCATAGAACCATGATTTTTCAGATTCTGAGAAGCAAGCTCCAATAAATACACCGACCTTAGTATTGCGGAGTTCTTTGGGGTTCATTCCTGGGACCAAAAAAATTATAGCTCAATATAAAAAAAAATTTTGACATCTTCAATAGGTAACTATTATAATCATCAAATTATAATCATCAAAGAATTAGGTTAGTAGCTAAGGTAAGGTAAGAGTAAGTACAATGACTCAGTAACAAAATCCCCACATAACTCACCAGCATCAATGACAGCTTCATAAGCCTTTTCCAACATAATTCTGCACATGGGATCCATTGTGTGAGCCTGTTTGTAGTGCACACCAAAGAAGGACGCATCAAATTTATTGAGGTTGTTGATCTTGCCTGTACGATGCGGGATTTCAGGGTGAACCAGCTTCCAACGACGACCATCATTGCTGACTAAATCTACCTGTGAAGATTTAGGAGATGCATTCATATAAAAAAACTAGTTTGAATGCGTTTTTAAATTTAGGTCATAACAAAAATATTGGTATGAAAGTTCCCACCCAAGTTTTATAGTCGTTTTTACGAAGTAGCGTCGTGTAGTTATTGGCGCACAAGATGGTATGCCATTTGGTGATTTGCCCTACAGTCCCATAAATTTAATAGAAATAAAACTTTATTGGTGACACTTACTTTATTAAAAAGGTTTTCCTGCAGGTGTATGACGGAGTCCGAGTCGGGGAAGTATCCCGACACGCCTGTGATGAAGACCTCGTCTCCGGGTGGAGGATGCGATAGCCGGTGTCCCGACTGCAGCCTGTCTTCAACTATAGTTGATGGCGCCATCTTCAATTGAAACTAAAACTTTTTGGATTTTTTCTATTATTGTTTGGAGACAATTTTTTTAGATGCAACGCCCATTGCAGTCTGAGGCGTACTGAACAAAGGATTGTCTATTTCTGCAAAGGTTGGAGTTAGACCTATAATTAATGTATTTATATGTTTACCATTTAATGAATTTTAATGCCATTATTATGTAAAATGGGTTTAAAGGTCATTCTTGTTTTTGATTTCTGATTACTGTTAAATTCTTGTTAACAAACTTTTTGCTTGTAACTTAATAGATTGTTTATATGCTGATTTTTATCGATAGGCATCACATAGGCATACCGTACCATAAATGTTTAGCTACATCAAAACTTGTTTTTTTTCTCCATAAATCCTTTTTGATTTAAAAAGTGTATTATAATACATTTTTTTTTTAATAATTTAATATTTATTTCCGATTATTTTATAACGATTCCCGCACGGAATAACTCTTTGTGTGATCCATAGATTGTTGTATCGGGTCTGGGTTTCATGTGTATTTTTTTTATTTATTTATTTAAAAAGCTTTATGCACACAAACAAGCACATGGGTGGACTTAATGCTGCAGGCATTTTCTACCAGTCTGACCCTTGGGTGATGCAGAGAAAGTAATCAGCGGGTGCAAGAACATGCTTTGAATTTAACTGTTTGAATAAACACATATATAATTCGGCAATATACACAATATATATATACTACAACATAACTAAATATATTGAAGAATACATACTATATAACTATAATATGTATGTATATATATATACTATACAGATGATACGCACACCGAATTTCAGAAGTTATGAGATTTTTAAAGATGGAAAATAAAAGAGGTGATAGAATACCGCCTTGAGGAACGCCAGCTTTTAATTCGCGCAAGTTCGATGATAGATCATCCAGCTTGACCGACTTCTGACGCTCTTGAAGATATGAAGACAACCATTCCAGTGATTTTCCAGAGATCGTAAGATGGGATAGGATGGCTAAAAGGATATCGTGACTGACCATATTGAAGGCATTCGAGAAATGAACTAAAACAAGAACAGTAGCTTTGGTGTCCTCAAGGCCAGCTCTAATAAATACTTGATTGTTTGTAAACGCACCCACGATACAGAAGAAAAAAAGAATAGATTTACTTCTTAGGGCCGATTTATCAATCATTAGTTCAATCTTAACTTTAGAATAAAATTGACAAGTGACAGGTTTTGGTATGAATAAATCGGCCCTTAGTATTTCATTATGGCGAGCAAATTTGTATTTTGTATGTGAACCAAGTCGCAGGAAAGCGTATAAACATACGCTTTGATAGGTTGCTAGATATTTCCATAATGTTAATATGACATTTTCACTAACAAATTAAAGTGATTAAATAGTATAATCCGATGTAAATAAAATACCAATTTAAAAGGCAACTGTTAGTAGGTAAGCATTTATTGCACTTTAAATATACATTGATTAACCGACATAAGACTCGAACATAGACTTTTACATTAGAAGAAACTACTAGTACGAAAACATGGCGTCGTGGCTTAGAGCTGCGGAGGATTTCACAATACGTCCGTACGCGTTGGTGGTCGGGGAGGTCACTCTCGCTGCTGGTAGCTCGCACCCCCTGCGCGGTGGTGGTAATGGTGGGAAGGGATTGTCGCGATCGCGCGCCTATTGGCGTCCTGTGTAACGTTGCAACCACAGATAATAAAAACATAGACCATAGGTTGTGTTTATTTTGAAACCTGTGTTACACCAAGTAGAAAGTTGTAATTTATTATTAACATTTTTAAATACAATGTATTTGGTTAAATCAACAAAGTAATTGGCTTAATTAATTTAGATTTATTTTATACCACTATTTAACAGTTATTTTATATATTATTATATATATACATAGTATAGTTTTGTTATCGCGTCTTTTTTCAATATCATCATTATTTATAGGTTGCTAAAAGTAATTGGCCTTGTCATCAGAAATTGTATCATTTAATTATGTGCATAAAATTAGTTATCTTGAGATCATAAACATAATTATTGTGATATAAGTCTTTGCTGTGTCTTTAAAAAAGTAAATTTTGAAACTGTTTTATTGTTAGTTAGTGCGTTTGTATCTCATCAATGAAGTGGTTACAAAACATACATAGATAATACTTGTAACAATATTCGAAGAACATGGTCTATTTCTAAAAATGGATTTCTATGACTGTTTTTTACTATTTGCAATATGGATTTGGACTTATGTTTGACAGTGTTTTCATGCTCGAGTGTGACTACATTATCGATTGTTTAACTCTCCTCTCGTTCGATCTCATCCAAAACTTTGTTGATGATGTTAGCACAGTCCTTGTTCTCAACGATAGAGACGTGGTTACCCTCCAGGAAGTGTACGGTGACATTGTTCTCTGTGTACTTGTCGAGTCCATAGTTCTCTTCTACAGCTACGAAGGACGGGTTCTCTTTGGGACGAAGAAGGACGATTGGGGACTGTAGCTTCTTGAAAGCTTTCGGGTCATAGTCAAGGATGGTCTTCAGCCTATCGAAGGAAACTTGGGCAAGCTTTGTCAAGAATTTATCGGAGTATTTGTCCTGTAATGGAGACATCCTGACTGTTAATGCAATTCTTTCTTCAAAAGATTCAATGTTGTTAAGTTTCTCCATAAGTTCTCTGGTGGCGTCAAAATTGGGGGCGACAAGCCTCATTGTGTGACATAACAAACTGTTTTGCAGTTGGAAGTCGCTTGGAACACTTATAGTCTTCGTGACGAGAGCGTAGACGAATTCTGGAGCACCGTCTAAACAGAATATTGTTCCCTTGTAACCTGAGAATGAGAAGTAGATTAGTTTGCAAGATTTAAGTTTTCGTAAAGCGTTGAAGGTCTTCTTTTCATTATAATGTATTAGCTATGTTGATTTTACCTTCCTTCTCCAGTCTGGAAGCCAATTCCAAGGCGAGTAGAGTACCGTAACTGTATCCGAGGAGCCAGAATGGACAACCAGGTTTTAGCATTCGAATCACTATCTGAAAGAAACACAAAATTTAGCACATTATTAGCCGTAGAACGATTTTGAAAAGTAATATTATTTATTTCATGAATGGTATTAAAAGGCCCGAATGGCAAAAGATGTGTGTGTACTATGCTGATTGGCATACAAAATTATCAAGTAATGGAATATAATTTAACGATGAATTACTAATACAATAAATACAAATCGTTAAAGTCACCTGGTACAACCTGTTGACCATCTGGTGCATGTTCTCGTTCTTGTGCTCCACTCCAAGCTGCAGCACGCAGACCTTAACCTTCAATCTCTTGCAGAGTGGCTCCAGTTTTGCTGCATTACTGTCTAGCCCAGGTAACATGAATATCATATGCTCCGGTACCTGTATAGATTCCACACCCTGACTTTGAGAACTTATAAAACAGATACTTTATCAATATTTTTAAACAAAAAGGATTTTCAAAACTTTGTCATTGGTTCTTCCTTACCTCGACTCCATGGCTAACCATGGAAGGCATGTAGACAATTGGCTTAGAGACAGTTTTCTCATCACCAAAATTTCTTATCAGTACACGAAGTCCAACAGCTCCTTCATCATTAGTGAGACGTGAGTTTGAGGCTGAAGATATAGGTTTGCGCAGTGCTGTTAGCTCTAGTAGCCTGAGGTAAATAATATAAACGAATAGCTAACTGACCTTCATTTGATGATCATCCGCGGTTCATAAACTACTATTAAGAGAGCAAATTATAGAATCAATCAATTAACAGAAATACAATTCAAATTATTTAAAGTCTAAGTATCCTAACCTGGCGAATGTCAACGTTCTAATATCTTGAGCCGTGAGAAAAATCTTGAACTCTCTCTCCAATATTTGATTGATCTCCAAAGCCATCATACTGTCCATACCCAAATCAGCCAGGGAGACTTGCTGCGATACTGTCTTTAAGTTCTTTATACCTAATAAAAGACATAGGATCAGCTGCTTTTATACCCGATAGATTTATCTAAATAAAAATGTCTCAGCATTTAGTAAAGGATAATGAATAACTAAAAAAAAGGTTCACCCATAATCTGAGCGACTGCATCTAATGCATTGCCACATCCTTCGCAACCAGTCTTCTTCTCAGCCACCACAATAGAAGACACGATAGGAGCATCCTGCTTCATGAACTTGTCGAGAGCAGTCAGACAGGAAGATATCCTCTGCTGCAGAGTTCCTCCGATCTCAAGTTGGACGTCATCATCCTGCATGTCAGCTATCAGACCAACCTGTAGAAAAATATGACGTTTCTCTCATTCGTTATTACAGCTTTGTATCTTTAACTACGATGTCTTGACGACTGCCTCGTTGGCCGAGTGGTCGCAAGTGTGACTTGGTTTTTAAAAATTATCAGTGGTAGAACGCATTCTGAAAATGTGGATCACCCCCTATTACAAGGGATTCATAACATAAATAGCGAAGAGTGGGGGCTACATAGTACAGAGGCATTAAGTACCGTAATAAGCACGCCTATTTCTTCAAGGATAAAAGGCGTGATGTTATGTTATGTTTGTATTAGTTGCCTAAACTTACATCACCAATAGCTCCCCATTGCACAGCAAGGGCTGGGAGGCCGAGCTTCTTCCTCCATTCACAGATCCTCTCCATCACGGAGTTGGAGTAGCCGTAGTTGGTTTGACCAGCATTACCACGTCCACAGGATACAGACGAGAAGACCACAAAATCCCTACGGAGAAATTTTGTTTTTTGTACGTATTGTCACAAAAGGACTAACTTTAAAGTTAAGGCCAAATAAACATTATGTTAATTAATTTTTGTTGTTTTCTTCACTTTTTTTAAATAACATTCTAATCTATACAATTAAACTTATAAAACTTAAACCAACTTAACAGAGAAAGTAAAAAAACTTAAAGAATAAACTAGAAAGAGCGTTGAAAATTTTATATACATAAATGTGTACTATCAACTTAGTCTTATGTTATTATTAAAGTCATAGATAGTTACTTCAAGTCTGGGCACAGCTTCCTCGATAGTTTATCCAAATGCATGGTAGCAAGAGCCTTTGGCGCGAACGATGTCTTGAAGGTCTCAGAAGTTTGGTTCTGAAAGATGGAGTCCTTCAGGATGACAGCCAAGTTGAAAATAGCATGCACAGGTCCCATGCTGAGCGCCATCTTGAGCATTTCCTCGCAGCCAGGCTCAGTGGTGACGTCATGTGTCGAAATCTGGATATCTGCGCCATATGATGCCCAGGCCCTATAAAAGTTAATAAGTGAACCGAAATATGAAGATGCTAAAGACAAGAAATAATAAGTGATCAATTCTTAAATTTTTGCCCAACCTCAATCGCGACGACTGGTATCCATTAGTGATACCTCTGCGGGACGTCAGCAGGATCTTTCTGCCGCCTCGCATGATGAGCCAGTCAGCCAGCTCTAGACCGAAGCCACCGAGTCCGCCGATCACTACATATACAAGGTCCTTGTGGCAAATGTACCTGGTGAATAGTGTTTTACGGTAAAGGGCTAGGAAGAATAAGGATTAAAGTAAGTGTCCTCTAAAAATCTCAAGTATACTGTATCATATTATAATATGTTATTTATTCATTTACCTAGGTATAGCATCTATGGGCATTGCTACGGGTCTGAGTTGACCGTTGCTCTGCTCTTCCTCACGAATCTTGATAATTACCTGAGAATTTGAGATTGTTGTGTGATTTATAGATATTTTTTACATTAATACAGACATAATTTCTTCTGAAATTTAAATAATTCATGTAAAGAGTTTAATACATTTTCAGCGAAATGAAGGTTTACCTTCCCGATGTGTTTGCCAGCAGCCATGTAACGGTAGGCATTTTCCACTTCGTTGGCCTTAAAGGAGCAGTAAGTTAAAGGTTTGATGGCACCGTTCTCGATGCCACGTAGGAAAAGGTCTTGGAAGCGCTGAGAAAATATTTTAATGAGTTTTACAGTGGGTAAAAGAACAAAGTGCGTATAAGGAAAATATTATAACCTAAAATATTGGAATCAATGAATTTCTAAAGTAAATCATAATGTAGAGGAAATTAACGATACTTACCTTTTTGATAACAGGCTCCAGATTGAAGATGTAGTTCAACATGATGCCATGGAAGGTAATTTCCTTCGAGAGGAAATACATGGCGATGGAGGTGTTGTTTGTGATGTCGAATTTGCCGATTTCGAGAAACCGACCACGGAACGCAAGACAACGGACTGACGCCTGAACAGAACATAATTTAAACATTATACAATGTTGCTTGTAAAATATCTGAAGAAAATAGTAACACCTATGTCTATTTTTCGATGAAAAAATATGTATTTATGTTACAGAGCGTACATCAATTTTATTTGAGTATTACAAAATATTGGACCTAAATTATAATAGGTATGACTTACGACTTACCTGTAGTTTATCATCAGACAAAGAGTTGAGCACCATATCGACACCCTTGCCGTTCGTTTCGCGACTGATCATGTCCTCGAAAGAAGTGTCACGGGAGTTACCGATATGGCTGTCTGTCGTAAACAGATTACAAAGTTGATGAACACTTGTTTATTATTATCACTATTTATATATACATCTATTTTTACAAATAAGTAGCTACAGGGCTATTTTTTACCAACCTTTTAGCTGAGGAAACAGCTTCTTGATGAATGCTCTCTTCTCCGCGGTACCAACAGTGGTAAAAACCTCGCAGCCGTAGTGGAGCGCCACGTTGATGGCGGCCTGGCCTACTCCTCCAGAACCTGCATGAATGAGGACGGACTCGCCACGTCGCAGTTGCCCAAACATGATCTGTTGAGATGTTAAGGAATTGTTATCTCTGTACTTATTTTTTTTTCATTTCATTATCACATGATGGTAAGAAATCGCCACCGCCCATGGACACCTGAATCACTAGAGGCGTTACAAGTGCGTTACCAGCCATTTGGGGATTAGGAATTTGAGGATTTTAGGGATATCATAGGTATATTACGTTACATTATGTTTTGTTTTCAACAGCCTATCGACTGATGATAATGATGGAAATGTAGGCCTAAATTATGTTACTATTAATGTATTTGTTGCAAAAAACGTAACCTACCAGAAATCGCATTCGTTTTATTATATATTACAATATTTCCCCTATTTGACTTACCATAGCATAATAGACAGTTCCGTAGGCAACAGGGACAGTAGCGGCTTCTTCGAAGGTCCACTCATCAGGAACAGGCCACAGTATGTCTTTTTGTCCCTCAGCCAAGTTAGTAATACCACGGTTGCAAACCATACCCATAACACGGGTACCGCTACAAAAAATTTCATTTATCAACACTTTTAATAACGTTTTGGTCATCTGATTCACAATCATAATCATCAAATATTATTAGTAGGTACTGATAAAATTGAGGAACTCACTTGGCGGTTTTTCCGACAATTTCTAAACCCTGCACACACTCTTGCGCAAGACGACCACGATCGACAGTATCCACCGTGACACGACCAATGGCTGTCATGACATCACGGAAGTTTAACGCTGCACAATATACCTGACGAAAATTAAGATTAGCGAAGTAAATACGGTTAGTTATTGTCTCATCGTCTTTCGTCTTCGTTTTGAAGCAATTTTTGTAAAAATATTTGTTATACTTAGGAGAAGGTTTTAGTACATTAAATTAATTAACCAACTTCCAAAAAAAGAAGGTTGAAGTCGGTTTTTAAACGTGGTTTAAAAATATATTTTTTTACTAAAATATTTGCTTACATGGACTAGTAGCGTTTCCTTATCCCGGAACACATGGTTGGCGTCGATGTTACCTTCTATCCATTTCAGTGAAGAAAGATCTCCGATGGTAAGGATATTGATATATGCATGGTTGGCACGAATTGTCTCCAAATCGTCCAAGAGAAGATGACGGTAGGTACCCCATTGGCCCTAAATGAAACAAAACAAAATATATTAGACTATAAATGGCCTACCAATGTAAGTAGAGAAAATAATATCATTGAATATACTTACATCTTTAAACACATTAAGAGCTAAATCTTTATTTAGCTGGTCTTCATAGAATTTCAAATCAGGGTTAAATGGAGGAGCTGATGGGTCAGCAATAAGAAGACCATACACAATCTCACCGCCAGGCTCCTTCCTCAAACAGTTCACTAATCCTAAGAGACCGTTGATATGTTCATCTTGTGTGTATAGGACCACTTTCTGGCCTTCTTTGATTTCCTCCTTGACTTTGTCGATCCATGCGAAAGTATCATCAGAAGCTAAGATCCTGACGAACTTGGCTGGTCTGGCTTCTACACGTTTTCTCAACAGTACAATGTATTCGAAGCCTGTGTCTTGAATGGTAACAATGTCGTATTGGTCGGAGTAATCCTTAGGGTTGGGGCGTTCGTTTTCGCGACTGATGACGAAGGCCTTTTCACGGAGGGTGCCGATTGCTTGTTGTAAAAGCTTTCAATAAAAAATTGAATAGCATTTAATAATTTATTTCCAAAAAATAAAACATTATAGGCATCTAATTGGTGGCCTAGGCATTAAATAAATGTGTACATAAATAACTTAATTGATTTATTGTTTAATTAAAACATTGACATAATAATGATCTTTGCTTACCTCAGGCCTACCAAGGAGATTAGCTCCAATAAATAATAAAGTGTTACTCTCTCGTCTCAGTTTCTTTTTCTCGACGGTGATGTTGGAAGGCATATCAACGGGCTCTTCAGAAATAAGTAACAGCTCAGCCTGGACTAAGGGAAAATCTCCAAGTATATCACCGATATTTTCTAACAAGGGCTTCAGATTGTTCCTTTTATATTCTTCGTCATATAACTCAATACTTTTGACTTTATAGCTGTGAATGTTCTCAAGAACTAGCTGAATGTTCGCACGGAGGATATCCTTGATCTAGTTATAAATAAAGAAGAAGGTGATTCACTTTCATACTTAATTTTAAACAATTTTATTTTTCACTTTACCTATAATTGATCTTACCTTCATCTTGTATTGTCCAAAGTTAGGGATGAATTCGTTCTTCTCAAGAATAGGTATACCTAGAGGTTGCCTTTTAGTAATAAGAGTGGCGCGAGGGCCTCGAATTTCGATACCACCAGCCCTAGCGAAATAATTGGTAGAGATTAGATATAGGTATGAAAAAAATTATATGTATGTATATGCCGTCCGTCTTTACTCTCATAATAATAAGTTCAAAAATATCTCACCTTATAACGCTGACATCTGGATACACGCGAACCTCGAAAGATTTATTGTCACTATCAAGATTCATTTTAGCAATGGCATCACAGTGCATAGTAGTATCGATGGAGAGTCTCTCAATCCTAGTGGGTATATAAAGACTCCTGGAATCTTGGCTAAAAAGCATCATCTGCAGCATGCAATCCATGAAGGTGACCCAGTTGTTGACCCAAGAGAGACGACCACGTGTGGCTTCGACGTTGCATCCGATAACTCCACGGAACAGACCACTGTTATAAAAACCAAAATAAATACAGTTTTTGGAAATTTATTTGTTAACAGAATGTTTTATAAAAATAATCATAAACCGATCGAAGTTGTTTCTTGTTTTTCATCTCTATACCTAAATTATACCAGCCTATAGTGCTGCTCGACGAGGTGGGGAAAGTCTTCGAGACAATCATTTCGAACCGCCTCGTCGCACGCTTGTCAGACATTGGGCCGGACTTGTCGGACGGCCAGTTCGGCTTCCGTAGAGGGCGCTCCACGGTGGTGCCATCATGCGCGTTAGGGACCTGACGACGGGGACTGCAGTGTCTAGGGGTAAGGTCGTTGTGGCGGTGTCTTTGGACATCGCCAACGTCTTCAACTCCCTGCTCTGGAACTGAATATTGGAGGCACTTCGATATCATCGGGTGCCTACTTATCTCCGTCGAGTAATCGAGGGAGAGTAACCTGACGAACAGATTCGTCATTTACCCCGGTCGCCGGGGCGAATGGAACAGGCGAGAAAAGTCACGGATCGGTTCTGGGGCCGCTCCTTTGAAACATCGGCTATGACTGGGTGCTGTGCACCGACCTCTCAAGCGGCGTTAGAATCATCTGCTACGCCGACGACACGCTGGAGCTGGCCCACGGGAGGTCGCACCAGGCGGCGATCGATTAACGGCGACATCGGTTGCGACGGTCGTTGAGAGAATCCGGAAGTTGGGACTCGAGGTGGCGCTCCACAAGTCCGAGGACATGTGTGTTCATGGCCGCGGGAACACGCCACCTCCGGGTGAGTCCCAAATAACGGCGGCAGGGGTTATCATCAGCGTCGAGACGACGATGAAGTATCTGGGACTCGTCCTCGGCAGTCGGTGGTACTTCATGGAGCACTTCTGACGTTTGGCTCTAAAGTTGGAGAGGACGGGGGCGGCGCTTAAGCGCATCCTACCCAACTTCGGGGCCTACGGGGCAAACGCCTCCTGCCGGAGGTTATACGCCAGGTTCGTGCAGTCCTCTACGGCGCCCCTGTAAGGGCGCCGAACCTGATGCGGCGGCCCACTCGGGCGCTGCTCATGTCACAGACAGTCATGGCGATCAGAATAATCCGTAGATACCGCACGATTTCTAGGGTGGCGGATTACGGAGGGAGACTCCTTGCCGGATTACCGCGTGCGATCTGGAGGCGAAAGTGCTTACGCGCGTGTATCACATGCGCGCGGAGGCACTTCGCCGGTGTTAATGACCTCCCTAGGCATCGAATGACTCCTCCCGCCTCACCCAGGCGGGAGCAGTCATTTCCCCCCCCAAAAAAAAACCTAAATTATACCATTTACCTGAATTGGTATCCTCTGAGACGCAGTTCTTTGTAGAAGTCCTTGGTCAACAAGTGCTTAATGCAAGGACCACTGGCTTCTGGCAAATGTGGGATTACCCTGAAGTTCTGGCCGACGTTTTTCTTGGCATAAACCTGACCAGTTACGATGGAAACACTGCTTTCCGAAATCTAGGGAAATTGAATTGAAATTAGTTTTCGATCGATAAATGATAGCAATCAGTACGAACAACTTACCTCGAAGTTACCACTCTCCTTTTGGATAGTGATGATAAACTCCAGGTTTCCCTCCTTGGGAATGTTAGTTGCTCTCTGGAAGCGTAGATTTTTGAAGACCACTGACACGTTGGTATAAACCTCTCCTATCATCATAGCAAGGGTTTCCCAGACTAGCACCAACAGACTGGTGGCAGGGTATAAGTTACGACCTGTTGAGGTGAGATTAAGTTTACTTTATTATGTATAATTGTAAATATTCATGATCTATGTATACGCATTCACCCTGTACACCTCTAGTCGGCGAGGTACTGCATTCACATGCCTGAATTAATTACTTCTAATCTTAAAACTCTTATATCTATGATAAAAGAAATCCGAACGTTGTAAATATAATATTTGTTTGTTATAGGTTTATTAGGTTTATTAGGTTCATTTTTTTTATTTTTTATAGCATAAGCCGGTAAACTAGCAGAGGGATCACCTGATGGTAAGCAATTGGCTCCGTCCATAGACACGCCCATGAACGGCAATTTCATAGGTCAAGGCCTAATTTATCTTTTGAACATTCCTGACTAACTTATCAATCACATTACACTATTTCACTTAGACTTACCATCAATGACATGACCAGCCAAAAAGTTATATTCCTCATCGTCAATAGATACTTTGACTGTCCTCTCACCGATCTTTATTTTCTCTAATTCATCAAATTTCGTAACGTACCTGAAAAAATAATAATTATGTTGCTATAAAAATGATAATTCTATCTCGTTTGTCTATAAGGCGAGACTCAAACTTATAATAGTTTTTCATGAGATTCATAATGTCTTACCAGTTCTCATTGTGCTCCCACTCAACGAGATGAGCAAGCATAGGCGTACCTTGTGACACGGGGAATGGTACGTGTGGGTAGATGTTGGCCAGATGTGGATTCCGACCTAAGTCGTATAATCTGTAGAAATAATTTCAAGAGATTTTTTTATAATATTCAAATATGTGTTGACTGTTAGGATCTCAAAACTTACTTTCCAATAGCAGTGAACAGACATTGGACATTGTCCGGGTGGTCCTTCTGTGTCAAAGCAAGGTTGATAACGTCCTTCTTCAGAAATCTGCGCAGAATAGCTTGCAACAGATCATGGGGGGCGATCTCGATGGTGATTGCATTAGCGTGGATCAGACGAGCTGTCTTCTCTAACAACGCGGGACTCTGTACAGATGTGATTTAAACGCATATTCGTAACGTTATAGAGGTAGTAACAGCGACACACTTAACAGAAGGTACACGTGTGGTTTGCTCACTTCATGGAGCACTTCCGACGTTTGGCTAAATTAGAACGGACAGGGTGGCGCTCAAGCGCCTCCTTCCCAACCTTGGGGGACCAAACGCCTCCTGCCGGAGGTTGTACGCGGGGATCGTGCGGTCCATGGCCCTATACGGCGCCCCTGTGTGGGTGCCGAACCTGATGCGGAGGGTCATGGCCATTCGGGTGATTCGTGGGTATCGCACGATCTCTGGCGAGGCGGCAAACCTCCTTGCTGGATTACCGCCGTGGGATCTGGAAGCGAAGCGGATCGCGGGACGATCTCCGGCCACCGTAGGTGCGGTTCTGCGGACGGTGAGCAAGGGTAGCTCGCCGCCCGACCAGAATCAGACCCGTGCGGACGGCGCGTTGCGTTCCGCGCGCGCCTCAAAGAGCCATCAGACCACTATACATGGGGCCCAATAGGGCTGATGCCCTATACGGAGCCGCGGAAGACTTAACGGGTTGCCGGGGCTCGGTCTTGAAGTGCAGGAGTAGAAACGGGGTGGGTTTTAGTCAGTAAGAGTCTGACACTCCTTTTGGCCTCACCCGGGCGGGAAAATCATTGGAAGATTTTCCCCCTTCAAAAAAAAAAGCTCGGCAATTGAACTCGAGACCCCTTGCCCAGCAGTCGGCCTTCAGACCACTCGGCCAACGAGGCAGTCAGTGAAGAAGAAATACTAATGTAAATTTAACAACGTACCTCGAGGATATGGGTGTGTAGGTCTGTGGGAGGCAGTTCAGCATCATTAGTGTCTTTTGATTGCTCTCGAAGTGATGAGGTTGACGATACCCACTTTCCGGAGCGTGATTTCTGTTTCAAAATATTATTACAAAGACACGGAAAATGAAATTAACAACGCACACAACTAAATTTAATAATGTATACAAAATTAGTATCAAAATAAAAATAAAAACATTTTATTTTCAAACTGTACCAAGTTACTTACAGTATCAAATTCAAACATAGGTTCCATAACAAATGATATCTCAGTTGAAGCCAGGCCCCTGCGGTGTGCAGACAAGATCATTTCCTCCGCGGTCAAACAGTTGTCAGCGTACGCACAACCGAGTTCACCGATGCCATCCCCTTTTGAAAATAATATATAATTTCTTTATAACCTATTTTCCATATGTGATTCAAAGGTATCTAAAGCTAACTCACCAATTATGTAATCAGGTTCAATACCAACAGTCTTCAAGACATCAGTGAGACCGATCTGTACAGCGGCAATACCAATGAAGGAGTTGAGGATGTTGTCGTAGATCGTAGGGTCATTCTCAGTGATCATCTTCGTTAGGTTGATGCCTTTAGGTTCTAAAGCTTTGTGGCACCTAAGTACGACATCAACAAGTTTAAAAAACAAGTTATTTCAATGTTTTTGTATACAAAAAAAATAAAGTAGCGCGAACAGAACGTAACTAAATCTGTAAAATTACTTACTTCTCAATAGCAGTAGCAAAGATGGGGATCCTCATGAGCTGCTTGGCTATACTGGCCCACTGGGAGCCCATACCCGAGTACACGAACCACACTGGACGACGCACTCCTGAGAAGTACTGGATCTCACGCGCTAGAGTCATACTCTTTGTGGGAGTTGAGCCTGCAATGTTAGATTTAAGACTCTCCAGAATATTAACGACTTGCCTTAACCTTTTCATAAATTATTTTCCTACATAAAACTATCAAATTTTTAATTAATTATGTTCTTAAATAAGTTCTGTGTAGTTATTTTTTTATTTTAAGTTATTTTTGCAATGATTTTCGAGAATCAATATTCTGTTAATTTTAACAAAATCTTACCCAAGAGAGTATATCCTCTAAAGCTATGTCCTTCAATGTCGTCATCATGAATAGCGTGAAGTAATCGAATCACCTCAGCATCCACTGTCCTGGACTCCAAGTCATCCAGAATCCTGGCTACTGCTGACTCCGTACGACCTGACACGCAGGCGAGACGGGGCAAGTCGTCTGATGGAATACCATTATTCACCTGATTGAGAAATTTTATTAAATAGAGATAAGAATACCACCAAACGTGGATGATGGTCGGCCGACGGCCCTAAAGATAACCGTATCAGTTTGGTTGGACCTTTGGTGTTTTGGTTATCTATGGGAGACGCTGATCGCTTACTATCAGGTGATCCGTGTGCTTGTTTACCAGCTTATCTCATAAAAATATATGTGGGTAAATGAATGATTTATGAACATCTTTAAAAATCTTCAACATAGTGTAAGAATTCATTGTCGCTTTTCGTATCACGAATCGTCATACCTTTACTTTCGCGAAGTCTTTCAATAAAGCATGAGCGTTGGCTCCTCCAAATCCGAAACTGTTGATTCCTGACATGCCCCTGCCCCAAGGAGTCTTGTCGGTGACTACTGCCAGCCTCTTCTCAGCCAAGGCTGTTACTCCTTCACGAGGGACATTATAATGCATATTCGGTGGAATGTATCCAGTGTTGTAAGCGATGCACATCTAAAAAATATATTGTAAAAGTTTATGAAAGCACCAACTGCATGAGTTATTTTGTATGTTTTTTTTTTCAGTTTCTAATCGTCCTTCTTTATTCACGATATAATTTAATTTATTTCTACATATTATATTGTTTATAACTACATAAATATTTACAACTTAAAATTAACTACAACTATAAAATAAAATGAAAGTAAAAAAAGGAAAAAACAAAAATTATACCAGTTCTAAATGGTTGTATCAAAAGTATTATAGACAATTATTTTAACCCCGAAGGGGTAGGCAAATGTAAACATTACAAGCACTTAACAGCACTTACAATGTAACACTCCCTTTTCAAATAGGGGTGAGCCCATTCCTAACAAAATTTTCAAAAAAAATTGTAAGTTCGCACCTTAGCAATAGAGCAAAGACCGGAGGCAGCCTCACTATGCCCCAAATTGGACTTAATGGAGCCGATAAGTAGCGGATTTTTGCGCCCGGTGCACAAGATATCATCAATGGCCTGCAACTCCTCAGGATCTCCAACTTTGGTACCTTATATCAAGATAAGAAAGATAATATATCAAAATAAATGTCACGCCTTTTAATGCATTTGAGACTAAAGTAGACATACCTGTGCCATGAGCCTCCACATACTCCAAGATACACGGAGGAATCGAGCACTCCTCGTAAAATTCTTTGAGAAGCAGTTTCTGAATATAACCAGCAGGGTAAGAGATACCCTGCTCCTTGAAACCATCGCAGTTGGTATTTCCATGAACGAACTGAGCGTAAACCCTAGTCAAAAATGAGGTAAAACAACTTGAGATTTCTATAGCTAATTTTTTGAATCAAAATGTGCAAATAATAACAGGGTTTTATTTTAGGACCAAATTAAATCAGTACTTCAACCTGATCCATATCCCAAGATTCGTTTATTAGAAACCGTCATTGAAAATTATACTTTACCTTCTGGAATCTTTAGCCTTCTGTAAATAGACAGCGACGATGGCTTCCGATCGAGCATAACCATTAGCACTATTGTCAAAAGTCCTACAAGTACCATCAAACGACAATACGCCCATTCTATAAAAAAATAAAAGTAATAATCATTATTCAACAATAAAAAAGTGTTCATTACTGTGGAATTTTCATTGAAGCTAAAAAAAATATTAACATTGACTGCATAAAAAATATAACCAGCTAGGTGGAGTGACGACATCCGCGAAGTGGCTTGCAGTGGTTGCATAAAAAGAGCTGGAGACCAAGCTCAGTGGCGTGCCATATTGGAGAGGTCTATGTCCTGAAGTGAACGGATACGGGCTGATGATGAAAAAAATATGATAAGCAATAAAAAAAAGTTTAACCGGATTATTCTTATGCCCATTTTTGGGGCTGTAAAAAATTCAAAACCATCTTTGTTTTGTTGCCACGCCTATTACCAACCATACAGTAATGTTGATAGCGTATCTTAACCAAAAACTGAATCTATGTATTTTACTTGGTGCGACACTCAGGTGGACGCATCCAATACAGACATGGTGGGCCTGAAATAAATTGATGTGAGTAATGACTCTCAAGCTCAATTTGATGAATTGACTGAAATAAAGAGGAATGAAGAAAGAACGAAAAAGAAAAGTGGAATTATAAGAGAAATGACAAACAAAGTCAAAGTGTAACAGTTAGTGGTTAGTGGTTTCTTTTAATTTCAATTAGATCAAGAAGGCACAGTTGAACATCAAACAAAAAAATAAAGGTGTCGGTTTGTCGGTCAGTATTGCAGTGAAGAAGCTATTTGCTGATTCCAAGGTGTAGATGGCTACCAAATTGTAAAAGCTCACCTGCTGAATTGTAATGACACATAAGGATGAAGACACAAGTTGCTTCCTCCGACGATAGCAGCATCACAGTGACCATCTCGAATAGCTCTTTATGCATGCACCAGAGCGTAAAGGGAACTTGAGCAGGCAGTGTCTATGGTGTATGAGGGACCAGTCACTCCCAACCAGTAGGAGATACGTTTGGCCAACATGGCTCGGGAACATCTAGAATTAGAAAAAAGGATAACTTCATTGGAAATGGGAAACGATTTATCGTAGAAACTTGTTAGACAGGATCCTGGTTCTGACCAAAACAATTAGAGTCAACAACTGGAACTTGAACAAACAGTTTGGGAATCAAAATCAATTGAAGATAATAATTACAATTTAATTATATTGTTATTAGTACAGATTTGTTTCGTTGGCCGAGTGTTCGCAAGTGCGACTGCCTCACAAGAGGTATTGGGTTCGATCCCTGGGCCGGGGAAAGTACTACTGGGTTTTAAAAAAATCTCAGTGGTAACACGGAGTCTGAATGAGCCGGGTATATTGTTATAGGCTCATCCCCTATTATATGGGACTCGGCTTTAAGTGCCGTAATGCCGCACCTCTGCCTACCCCTCCGGGAATAAAAGACGTATTTTTTTATTCTTTCTTTATTTACAGGACTTTTATCTGAAGACATGGTAGTCCTGTTAATACAAATCAAGAAACCCTTAAACTAGTTGACTTAAGAATAATCATTATCATCATATCAGCCTCAGGACGCCTACTGCTGAACATAGGCCTCACCCAATGACTTCCAGATAGGCCTGTTGGAAGCGACCTGCATCCAGCGGCTCTCTGCGACCTTTGCTCAGGTCGTCTGTCCCCCTTGCGAATGGATGTCCTACGCTGCGCTTGCCGGTACGTGGCCTCCACTTGAGAACCTTTTTGCCCCAGCAGCCGTTAGTTCTACGCGCTATGCACCTGCCCACTGCCACTTCGACCTGCTAATCCGCTGGGCAATGTCGGCGACATTTGTTCATTTGCGGATTTCCTCGTTTTTTATCTGATCTCGCAGGATCTTCAGGGACTTCCATATCTGTCTATTGAGCGGTCGATGTGCTCTAGCATCGTCATAGGTCTGGAGCACCATAGCACGTCGTTCTGCCGTGAGTCTGAGGGTACGATCGGTCAGCTACTGAGGTCTGTTATTTCAGCAGGGTCTAAAAAACTTCGACCCGACCGCATGGACAGTTTCTACGAATCTGTTGCTAATTTCGTCGACTGACTCGCAAAGTCGCAATTCTCCAGGCAATCAAAACGATTTGATAGCTCGATCTGAAAAGTCTCGGGGCAACTGATACGCATTTGAAGGTCGGTGCGTGGACTGGCGGTCATCAGGCGGGATCTTTCCAACATTACGGTGCATAAACCTGGATGACCTTCAACGAGTATCTGTTGGATACTTTGAGTATCAGGTACGCCACCCTGCTCGACACACTTCCGATGGTGTGACGTGTGACGAATGTTGCTGACGAGGGACTTGTGAATGAGAAACTCGACACCACTTTGGGACAGTTGGTCGCCCTCCCGCTGGTAGAATAGGTTGCCGGATCATTTTTTTTTTTTTTTGAGGGGCGAAAATCATCCAATGACTTCTCCCGCCCGGGTGAGGCGGGAGGGAGTGTCAGACTCTTACTGACTAAAAACCAGCCCGTTCCTACTCCTGCACTTCGAGCCGGAGCCCCGGCAACCCGTTAAGTCTTCCGCGGGTTGCCGGATCCTAGGGTAATCGTGTCCTCGCCCTTTCGTCGAACTTCTGACAACCCCAGAATACTCCAGTGCAACCTATTCCTCTTCCAGCTCAACAATCTTCTCGTCTGTCCTCAAAGTGCGAACATTGTGTGTTACCAAGGCCAGTCGTCGTTGAGGGTTGTTGCCTTTTCTCCGGGTCCGGGGATTCATAGCACCACGTGTCCTGCCGTTACCCTGACCGCTACCACGATAGCCAGGAACGGCGGGACTGCCGGAGACTGGGGGCCTAGTTTTATCTGAGCAGTCCATTGGGGGGATTTAACAATCCTCGCCACGCTTGGCAGTCGGGTTGGCGAGCGCAGTTAGGTCACCGATAGTTTTGTAGAATGCTGCTCCCCATTCTTTGGTGTCTAGTCGCAGTTTTAGGACGTACCTGGGTCCATATTAAAAATGATTAGATCAGTATAAGGCAAAAAAAATAGAGTTATGTTTGTTGTTATGTGTATAAGACGTAAAGAGGTAACTTCTACAAAACTCAGTTTTAACAGGAGACTTAAGTGACGTTTTGGTAGTAAAACAGAAATAAAGAGATTTACTTAGATTTTTTTTAATTTTGCCCCATACCAGAAAATTCTTCTCCTTGGCTCTCTACGGCGCCCCTGTGTGGGTGCCGGACCTCATACGGCGGCTCTATCAGGCGTTGCTCACGTCACAGAAGGTCATGGCGATCCGAATGATCCGCGGATATCGCACGATCTCCGGGGAGGTGGCAAACCTCCTTGCCGGATTACCATCTGGAGGTGGGATCTGAAGGTGAAGATGCTCGCGCGCGTATTCTCCCTGCGCGCGGGGCACGTTGCAGGGGCGAAACTCCGCTGCCACACCAAATTAGTGCGTGGCGGGAAAAGCTCAGGCGCGATCTCATGGCGGAATGGCAGCAACGACTGTCGCAACCAAGGATTCGGCTCGCTGCCATTGCAGCGGTAAGTCCCTTCTTTGAGAAGTGGCATGAGAGACTCTACGGCGTTCTCACCTACCGCCTGACGCAGGTCTTCAGCGGACATGGAAGTTTCGGGAGATACCTGTGTCTGATAAGGCGAGAGAAGCACCCAGGTGCCATCACTGCGAGGACCGCCCTGAGAACACGGTGGACCACACAGTAGGGGAATGCCCTGCATGGGCTGCGCACGGCTGTGCCCTCAGGGACGCGATCGGCGATAGCGACCGTCTGTCGACCGATACCGTCTCTTCCTTTTGCGAAGCAGTCATGCAGGGCGCGTAAGGCAACGAAGGACGCCGGCCACCGTAAGCACGGGCCAGCGAACAGCGAGCATGGTGGCTCGTCGCCCGACCAAAACCAGACACAAGCGTACGGTACGTCGCGTTCCACGCACGCCTCAAAGAGCCATCAGACCACCACGGATGGGGCCCAATAAGGCATAATGCCGATACAGAGCCGCGGAGGACTTGAGGGGTTGCCGGGGCTCCGACTCGAAGGGCAGGAGTAGGAACGAGGTGGTTTTTATCAGTAATAGCCTGACACTCCCTCCCACCTCACCCATTCGATTATTTTTCCCCTTCATATTTATTTATTTACTTTACCTACACTACCTTCCCTATACAAGTAAAAGTATAAATTTACCTTACCCTGTAATTCCGAAATCGTTGACCTGCATCTTCTTGTAGAACCACTGATTTTCTGATTCTGAGAAGCAAGCTCCAATAAACACACCGGTCTTTGTGCCACGCAATGTTGTAGGGTTCACACCTATAAACAAGAGATTGAAAATATTCGGTGCTTATTTATAACGGGAATGACTTAAAGATAGAACGGACGTAATGAAAGAAGAATAGCCAATTGGGTGCCGTCGTTTGGAAGTTATGCACGCACATACATTTCAACATTATTGATTTTTATTCATTCAGATTTAACTCACCAGCATCAATAACTGCTTCATAAGCCTTCTCCAGCAGGATTCTGCACATAGGGTCCATTGTATGGGCCTGTTTATAGTGGACACCGAAGAAGGACGCATCAAACTTATTGAGGGTGTTGATCTTGCCGGTACGCTGTGGGATCTCAGGGTGAACCAGCTTCCAACGACGAGCATCGTTGGTAATTAAATCCACCTACGAAGGATTTACAATAAGCCAGCGAATTAGTTTAACTGTCGAGTCACGCAAAACGTGTCCAAGTCGTCGCACACCTAACAAGCACGGCTCCGGCACGGCTCCGGCACGGCTCTAACCCAGCAATTAACTGGTCATTTAAATATGAACTTTAAATCGTATGTCTTATGACATATTTATTGGTTTGAAAACAATACAAAAAGGTTGTAAGAGCGCGGACGGCGCGCTTGTAGCTTTTTTATATTGACATTAGGAAATATGTCATACGATATACAGTTTAAAATTCATATTTAAATGACAAGTTAACTGCTAAGTTGGAGCCGTGCCGGAGGGTCTGTTTAGTCAACATCCCGGGACACTATTAGAAGATCAGACACAATTCTCATGAAGAAGTAAATAAATATTTAACCTTATTGAAAAGGTTTTCCTGCAGGTCTTTGACAGAGTCCGAGTCGGGAAAGTATCCCGATATTCCCGTGATGAGGACCTCGTCTCCGGGCGGAGGATGCGACAGCCGGTGTCCCGACTGCAGCCTGTCCGCAGCTATAGATGTCGGCGCCATCTTTAAGTACACAAACACTATTAAGATATCAGATAAAAAAAATCTAATATTTGTTTTAGTACGTCCTTTGTGTAACAAGGAACGAAATAGAATGACTAGAAAACTCAAAATAGTTTGTATAGTTTATAACTAGAGGTTTAATTTCAATAAATTAATTCGTTATTCCGCAAATTGCTACAATGAATTGAATTTGAAAGTCAAAATAATGTCACAATTTTGACCTAAAGATCAATTTGGTTTTCATGAAGTTTGTTGTCTTTTTTAAAATTTTAACATATTTGTGGTGCTAAATGTTTAATTAAGGTTTTTGATGTTTGTTAAATAGGGTTTCATAGAGACCCCGGATTTAGACGTAGACCCTTACGGATTTAGACGTATTTTCTAAATAAAACTGTCCTATATTCAGTCCTTTTTTGGGTTAATTGTACCTAGTTGTAAATATCTAATTTAACTCAAATAGGTTTAAAAAGAATAGAGTCCCGGAATTTTAACGCAGATTTCCCATTTCCTGAATTATTTATTTTTAGACATCGGATTATATGCACTACTTGTAATTAGAATTAACGTGTATTGTTAACACATTATAGTTAAAAATTATTCCAATATATTAGAAATAATAAACCTATTTATTATAATTCTTGTGGCAGTAAACAATATTAAGTTTGTCCAGGTTTTCTGGAAAATCTTGTGACGTTTGTCACTTAATATGAAACAACGCTGAAAATGACCTTTCAACGTCAACTGACGTCACCAGACAGTACTTAAAATGACAATGCCACATCTTGACCCAGTCATACTATCATTTTCAAAAAAAAGTAAATTTATGTTAATAATTTTGACGAATAAGGAACATTTTCAAAATAAATCTTTTTATTTCTAAACTTGCGGTTTACAATTTAATAAAAAAAGAAGTTCAATCCCGGAAATACTTTTTGCAATGCGTATTCTATATTGTCTAATGACTATTTGCGTTACATCATACGCATCGCTTGTACGAAACTATGAAAATAAAAAAGTAAGTAACTGTAACTAAATAGATATCATTATACATTAAATATTATTTCAAGAGTATAATTATGCATAACATTTATTTTTTATTTTTTTTAAGGGACAACCCCGCCACAACCTCCCAAACCTCCTGTAAGCCAGGATCTACAGTAGATACAACCATGAAAACACAAAAAGTTGCCGTGGCCAGTAAGATGTAATTTGGTATCTCGGGTAGGCAAGATACCAAGATACATTATCAGCTCTGGCTTCTTTCTTAGACAATGTACTTATGAGAATTACAGAACAATAAATAAATAAATCCCATTTGTGTTGTTTTAATTCAATATCTAGTTTATCCTTGGTTACTCACGTCACAAAATCAATTCGAAATAGATTATAATTAGAGTCCAAGAAAGATTAATCAAATTCAAAATCCTACTAAATAAGTTAAGTCCTTGGTATGTTTAACCATCAGTCCGTTTATACTAATATAGCAACAAATCACATTTTAATGTTGTTGTCACTACTATGTGGTCACTGGTATATAGATCAGTTCAGTTCTGCCAGACAGTTATAGTTATGTCTACATTTATGTATATTGAAGGGCTTTGATAAAAAAAACATTTCAACCATTCATTTATTTATATTGTCTATGAAAACTGTTTTATGTGGGACTGTGCGAGATATGTACGTGAATCGCTAATAAAAAATACGACTATCAATATACGGAAACTCATATAAAACAAACGCCTAGTTCAACGTTCACAGCAATATCATTTGTTTGTAATTTTTTATACTAAATTACTAAGGCAGTACACTCTTTTATTTTCAGATTTGCGCAGATTTGAAGAGTTCCTGAAACTTTGTTTAAGTGAAACACTGATATTCAACTATTCAGCTTTACATATTGCTAGGTACCATGTTTATGCATTGTTGTACATTGCTGGGGCAATCGTCCATACTTCTATTTAGCCATGTACAAATTTAATCAAAATGGCGGTGAACATGAGGGTGAGCAAAGTAAAATTAAAAAACTGCGTTTAAGAAAACCGCCTTCAAATACTAAAGACAAACATAAAATAAAAACTAAAAAGGAAGGAAACAACTATTATTAGTCATATTATTATGTACGTAACTATAGCTTACACACCCACTGATAGATTAGAAGTCGACGCCACAAGTTTTAAACAAAATTATTCACTAAAACCCTAATAGATTATACCTGCCAGTTTTATTATGAATTATACCAGCTGTAATCATTAACTACTTTATATTTTGTGATGGGTTTGTTAAACGCAGTTTTTTAATTTTATTTTAAACTTTTTAGTTTACGTTGATATACTATATTATACACAACCCACATGGATGTAAAGTTTTCATCAATACAAATTATTCAAGCTCAAACACCGGGTGGCTACTCTTAACCATTGAGGAGTTCTCTTAGTTATCATACTACTTCATCATTAACCCATGGTATGGCGGGAGCGTAGATATACGCCAGACACAATATGTTTTCTATTGTGTCTTATATGCCAGCAGATAAGAGGTTAAACTTTTAATAACCACCACCCCTCCATCTAGGTGCAAGGACCGCATAACTAAAAATTATCAAACTCAAACACATGATAGCTACTGGTAACCGCCGAGAAGTTCCCTCAACTGTCATACAACTTCATCACCAGACCTTATTGACAATTACACCCCACCTAGGTGTAATAGTCCTCATCAATATACATTAATCAAACCGAAACATAGGGTAGCTACTGTTAACCGTTGATGAGTTTCCTCTACTGGCTCTCGGCTCCATCATCAGATCGACTCCATCGACATATTAACGAATGCACGAGACATCCCTATGATTTCTAAAAGTTCCCCTCGGTTTCTCTGGTCTTCCATCAACGGATACTGATTTCCTTATCATGAGACCACTCTGGGACTATCCAATAAAAAAAAAATCAAAATCGGTTCATAAACAATGGAGATTTTTGAAGTCGGTTAAAAATACAAATATGTTTATGTCCTCAGCCTTAACAGCGACAACATTTTTGTCATCGCCAATGAAGGGTAGAGGGATCTGGGTGAAGGGCACTTTGTTATTAACTAATAAAGCATAACCTCCATAACCATCAGATCTGTCATGTCTGACAACACTGAACCACGGGATTCCGAAATATATATTCGGTCGAAGCCTTGTCTCAGCAATGCCACAACTCGATGGTGTAAAATTAATCAAATGGAGTAAGTCACTCTTCCTGGGAAGAGTACTCCTTACGTTTCACTGACGCAATGTTAGAGGCAGGAAGGTTACAAATATAATCAAGAATTGTCTAAAGCTTGTGCCATGTGGTCAGGTACAGTTTGGGCAGGGTTCGATAGTACTGCCATATCAGAAACTATGTTTAAAATGTTCTCGGAGCTACGAGTGCTAGTTCCAGATTCCACAGGGAAAGCGCAACTTCTTTTAGATGAGGACAAAGAGTAGTTATGGATATGGTCCTGATGGCCTTTCTTATCATAACTAGGTCACTGAGGTACACTCAATGTGATTAAGTTTTGAGGTGGATAATTTTTTTATTGGAGACTTTGTTGGGATGGTTTTTATTAGGTGATGGGTCTATGAGGTTAAGTGATCTTGAGACCTCAGCATAAGACTTTATTACAGTTGGGAAAACCTGGCTTGCTTCCGCATATAAAATCGATTATTCTGTCATCAAAGCTTTGATGGTCTTCTGGCGACCCAATTCATGACGAGCTTTGTCATTAGCATAGTGGTTGCCATTACAATTGATACAAGTCGCTACAATCTGGCATCTATCATCTGGCCCTGGATGATCCTGGTCACATCTGACGTGACGCGCCGTACGCTCGGGCCTGGTTCTGGTCGAGCGGCGAGTTACCCGTGCTCGCCGTCTGCAGGCCCGTGCTTACGGTGGCCGGTGATAGTCTCGCGATCCTCGACGCCCGGAGTGTCTTTCGCGACGGCTCTGGGACGTGAGGAGATTCGTTCCCTCACGCGCGCCGCCTCCTCCTTAGCTAACATGACTGCTTTGCAGAAGGAGTAGACGGCATCCCAGTCCCCCTCGCTCCGTACCATGATCTGAACCAGAGCCGAACGCGAGAGGTCGCCGTCGCCGATCACATCCCTGAGGACACGAGGGTGCTCAAACAACGTGACTTTGAGCTGCGAAAAATGCGGGTATGCCAAAACTTACAACATTGATAACACTGTATGGTAGGATGTAAGTATAGTTCCACCGGGAGTGCTGAGTAGAAATAAAACCCTTTTTTGGGTAGTTTTTGACCATCGAATGTAAGCACTATGGTTTGGGTAGGCTTCCATTCTGTACCGTTTGTGGTTGAGACTCTATGATTCATTCTCCTGTCCTTTATCGCAGCCCCACACCCGGTGGGAACCCTGATATTGCTAATGATTTCGTCCTGTGTCCATTCAACGTCCCTGACAATGCCCATTTGGGTAATGTAACATTGTGGGCTCGAACTCATATAACTTTGAGTTACCATACCGTTATTAGGAAGCTATTTGCATCCTGGTGTGACACAAACTTAACCGAAACTTTATTCCTCCCCAGCCGTCTGATACCACCGATTTTAACATTATTAATGTTGAGTTTCATTAAAAACCTACCAAACTTAACTCGTTGAAGAGTGGTGCCATACGTCTGGGAATTCTATAATTCTATAATAGTAGGGGAGCCCATGAAGGGATTTCGGTAGTTACTCGAGCGCGTCAGATTAACATATGGGGAAAACCTAGTGTCATGTTGAATATACCCAACATATATCCGATCTGATTAGAAGGGGGGGACTGAAAATAAAAAAAAAAGTCTGACTAAATAAAGTCAGTTTCGTCAGATTAAGGGAAGGTAGGTCAATACCGTGCTAAAGGAAGTGCGTTTAAAAAATCTGCCCATTCCAACTTGATTTGCAAGAGTGGGGGGATTTTGAAGGGTTCTCGTTTGTACTCTCCAGAACATTCAACCCCACCATGC